AAAACCCAAAAAAAAAAAAATTAAAAAAAAAAAAAAAAAAAATAAAAAAAAAAAAAAAAAAAAAAAAAAAAAAAAAAAGGGGTAAAGTTGACACCAATGCTTTATGTGTGGATCGTACCCTTGGCCCCATTGGTCCTCTAGATCCGGGCAAACCCATCAAACCCGGGTCACCTTTCTCACCCTGATAATATAAAAAAATATATATATATTTAAACATGTGGAGGAGGTTAACTTCTTAAAAACACGTCCAATTAAACCCCAGCTGAAAATGTTTCCCCCCTACTTTCACTCCCTGCTATTTACAATCTTTCAAAAGTATTCATACCCCAGTTTCAAGAGAAAAAAAAAAGCTTCCCCAAAGCATGATTCTGCCACTGCCGTATTTCACAGTATGGATGTTGAGTTCAGGTGATGTCCAGTGTTGGTTTTCTTCCTCTTATAGCAACTCTTGTTCTCTGTTCTCTGACTAATATTTGTCCTGTCAACAAATTTGTTCACCTAAGCTGTGGATTTTTGCTGCTCAAGAGCTACTGTGGGACTTTTAGCTGCTTCTTTTCTGAACTCCTCCCCTCCACCGGGTCTCCCGAACGCTCTGCGGTGCCTCTCGACTCCGATAAAGCTCGAGAGGCATGAATACTTTCTGCAAGGCGCTGTGTCGGTTATACGGCGTTTCGCAAGGTCTCTAACATTATGAGGTCTGACTTACTCACTTTGTCCCCAGGTGGTCCCGGCCATCCTGCTGGTCCCTGTTGCCCAGGAAGCCCAGGAGGCCCAGTCCGACCCTGGTGTGACACATCAGCTTCGTAAGTTTATGAAATCAGGGCTTTTACTGTCACTTTGTTTTACAGGTTTAGAACAAAACCAAGAGAGGGAGAGAGGGAGAGAAGTCTGAATGTTACATTAGATGACAGGCAGCACGGTGCAATATCTGTCCATTCCTGCTGCACATGTAGAGGCAGAATGGCTTTAACGAGCACTGTCACTTTGCTCTCTTTAATTAAATGATGGCTGTATATAGAACTGGGAGTCTTTGCTTGTTGGGAATAAAATGATTAATGATCTGGCTGAAGCACTAAGCTAAATTGCACCGCAGTGCTGCAAAGCTGCTCGGTGAGGGGCTGCACTTACTGCGCCGCAACACTGACAGGAACGTTTTGGAGCTCGCTTCTCATCTTGCTTTTGCCAATAAACAAACAAACAAACAAGAGTCTCCTGATCTTCGTCTGGAGATCGGGAGATGTCCTTCTTCTCCAGCGCGACTGTCCTGATGCCGCACGCTGAATCATGTCAGCGTGCATGACTGAGGCGTTTAGCCTCAGCAACCCCTGCATCCCTTGCATCCTGACAGCCTGCTCTGCTCTGTCTCCTGTCAAGGTTGTGCACTCGCACACAGTGCCTCTCTTGATGTGCGCTCGCTCGCAGGGGATGCGGAGGGGATGCTTTGTGTCGCTTTTGAGAAAACTCACTTACGGCGGCAAGCAGGGACGGCATGATTGACGGGGGCTCTCACCTTTTGCCCGGGTCTTCCGATTTCTCCCTGGCGACAGGATGCGGAGGAGGGGACAAGGACAGCAGGCGCTTAATGAACTTCCCAAAAGCATTTTTCAGTTATGTGCAACAGGTCAATTCAATCTGCCTTTTCAGGAATAATTACAAGACGAGGAAATCAAATAAACTGCTTACTTTTTCTCCTTTAGGCCCTCTCATTCCAGGAAATCCAGGGGGACCCTTGTTATCATAAGAAAACACAAAAATAATTGGTTATGAATCACGTAGATAGCCATCTAAATTAGTTTTACTGTCGGCAACATGCTTCTTGGAGAGCAGAGCTGCAGTTTTAATTAGCTGAAGGCTGACTGGTCTCTATTGATTCGAGAAGTGCCTCATGGGTCTTTTTGATAGACTGAACTGCAGTCAGTCCATCTGGTGGCGTAAGCAGAAGCCTCAACAACCGCTTGAGGTAAGCCGCCTATTACTCACAGAAACTTAATTTCTCGGCAGCGCATAGATCTGGCTCACAAGCACAAGCGGAATCAAAATGTTTTTTTGTTTTTTTTTATTATGTATTTGTCATGACTTGAAAACACAAACGCGTGCACGGCGTGCGTCGGAGATCCCTGGAATTTACGCGACACAGCCCGCCTTTCCAGCTCCTCGGACAGTTTCTGAGAATGATGTGTGGCACACTGGCCGGCAGTGGAAAAAGGCTATTTGTGTCGCAGCTAAATGTGGCGCGTTAATGGACTGTTGTGCTGCAAGGGCCAGAGAAATCCCCATCTTCTCCGCAGGAACTATCAAGTTGGAAGGGGAGATTGGGGCAAATATTTATTTTTTCGCCAGAGTGCCGATTCGTCACATTTTGTTCCTTTCTATGAAGTGATTTGTAGTCAAGCCACGTGATTGTTTTGGGCGTGAAGCAGGAATGACGTGTTGAAATGTCAGCGACAAGATCTCGAATCCTAAGAGTTTGGTGCTTTACCTGAGGCCCAGGCGGTCCAGCGGGGCCAGGAGGGCCCTGGGCACAGGCAGAACCTTTACTCTTATGGCCAGACTCGCTGCCACGACGTGAACCGTCTTCTTCCTGTAAAAAAAAACAAAAAACGCAAGGTTTGATTTCGATTGAGTCAGATCTACATTTAATTGTCACAACATAGCCAAAAACACCAGGAGAACTCTAGTGCCAAACAATGTCTAGCAACCCGTATGACTGTAACCTAAGGACATATCAACAGCTTCATACTCCACAATAGAAAGTCACATGACTCACAAGTGTGTGGCGGCGCCAAAGTGAAGGGGGTGGAGGAAAGAGCGGGGGCGGTGGAGGACTCAGTAAACAGCATGGGTTAAATCTCTTCTGCTGCTCCTGGGACCTGAGAGCTGTGCACAGCGTACATGCGGTCACAAATTAAGCCAGAGGTTAAAAAGTTCGCTTGATCTGTCAAGTTTGTTTACCTGTCGAAATAGCGAGCTGTTTATGCAAATATTCAGTTGAAATCAAACATTGTTTTTACCTTCTAATTTAACTTTACACTAGTTAAAAAAATGTTAGTCGTAGTTAGCACTTAAGTCTCAGCTTGGCTTTTGACGCATCAGTTAGCAACAAGACCAAATCGATGGATGGCTCTAGTGTCAAGTGTTAAACGTGTGATCGTTGAATGTGCACGTCAGACAACTAGAGTGGCTAAAGAATTAAGCTAGTAAAAAAAAAGAGCCTAAATGGAGCACTTGTTGACTAGACCATTGATGTCCAGATCACAAAAAAAAAGTCAACTAATGAATTTGTGCACTTTATTGCAGTGGCTCACTGACACGGAAAATTAGCTTCAGTTAGTCAGCTAGTTGAAACTTATTTGAGGAGAATGGTGGTGGAAACATGTATTCGCTGGTTGACCAATGGAAGGATGCCATGTGACTTATTAAGGGAAGTCCAATTGTCAATGTTACACTAAAAATGTCAAATAGTGTACATGTTCACTAGAAAGTGTTCACCACTTGAGTAGTATGTCTAGAACTACCTTCACATTAGCATTATTCATGCGAGGTGTTTCAGCCAGACTAGTAAGCTACTCCATTTGAAATCGTTAACTAGTTAACCAGTGTGCAACGATTTGTAAATAGTAAAAATATTGTAAACGGTCTGCTCTTTTAAAATGCTGTATCAAGTTCAATGACTTGATAAAATGCTGTAATTAAGCCTAAGTGTGTGTTAGTTAATTGGGTGAAGCTTTTTTTTTTGCCAGACTAGTGAATTACAGCATTTAAAAATGTCAAGTAGTTCACCAATATGAAGTTAATGTTCCAATATATGGCTAGTGCAATACTGCAATTCATCTGCATAGTAAATTCAAAATGGCTATTAAATGTTTACTGCTTGACTTGTAACATTGCTTTTGGTCCTTATGTTAAAAAGTATTTGAAATGTTGTCCACTTAGATTAGTCTAGGTAATCTCCTGCTGAGTAGGAGGTCAAAAAGCCTTCTAGTTAGCACAACTAGTCTAGCACCATGTCTTACTTGTGGAACTTCTGCCCTGCTAGTTGTACTAGCAGCACTACCAGTGTGTGTGTGTGTGTGTGTGTGTGTGTGTGAGTGTGTTTTTTTAACTATCTCTGCTAAATATTGAACTAGTGAGGGCAAATGTTTTACTGTAATGCAATATAACTCCTGCAGAATAGTCACAAATTGGCTGGCAAAAATAATGGCTGATTTCAATGATATTGAATATTCAAAAAAAAAAAAAAAATGACTCGCCACACTGTTACAACTCATTTCTGACCTCATCGTAAACACAAGCAAAGAAATCTTTAACTTCAAACTTGTGCCCATGCATCTGCAAAGAAGCAACAGTGTGGAGTGATCGGGCATATTTTGGTAGACACCTTACAAGAGGGTACAAGATGCACAAGCAGCATAAGCAACACGAAAACAGGTGCAAAATATCAAATCATGACACCCAGACAGAGATATGAAGTGCCTCTCGCAGACGGACTGAAGCTCCTCTCACTATTTATAGAGGCATTTACAGTCTACCTCAAGGGAAACAAGGAAAATCAAAACAACCCGACATTATGATGAGATCGCAGCGAAACTCACAATCCGTATTTCCAGAAGCCCTCAGCACCATGTGTAACGCATGCACTTAGTGCAGTAACTCACTCACACAACAGCCCACGCATGTGCAAGCTCATGGTTTTGAATGTGCCTACCTGCTGGGAATGACAGGAAGCTGTCCAGAAACGAGGACTGAGCCAGGCACAAAGAAAACCACAGTGGCAGACACAGTCCAACAGCGAGGAGAGTCATGCTGCCACAGATAGTTGCCCGACTTTACGTCTGAGCCACAGCAGCCTTGAAACTCTGCCTTCCCCTCTCGGCTCCTCTCCTCACCGTCCTCTCCCTCTCTGCCCTCCCTCTCTGCTCGCTCGTTCTGTTGGTTTCCCTTACGCCTTCACAAGAGAGTACGCTGACCAATACCCATTAAATCTTTCCTCCGCATCAGTGTGCTCTAAAATTACAGGAGACAGCACAGCAGCTGCCCTCAGTGCCAATATTAGATCCCTACTACTGTAGAGGGGTCTTATTGTTGTTTCCACTCCTCGGTAGGGAGTCTTAATAAAGACAAATCCACCATTTGCCATCCTGAAAGAGTGACCTCAATTAGAAACTGCTGCTATGTTTTATTTTTTTTTGCAAGATAAAATGCATTTTACTTTTGCACTGTAGTGTCAGAAATGAAACACCTCTGTTTTCTTAGTCTACGTGACATTTTGCCAAAAGTCTTTAGGAGGTATCAAGATGTTTGACGAATATGAGAAAGGTCTTTGCCATCTTTTGAAACTCTGATGCCATTTGGCACTGAACTTTACCGAAGCAAGTGAGGTCTGTACGTCACTGGGTATCGTTCTGGTTCATTTTACCTCTCGGAAGAGTGGAGTTAAACAATAGGAAAAGAGATTTTAAAAAATGGTGGGGGAATTGTGTTTTTCTCGTAGAGCTATGCTGGTTTGGCTAGATCTGTTCCTCAGTCAGAGCACCATTTCAAAACTGCATGTTGTATTTACTTGTGAAATTTTTGATACATAGTTTGATCTCTGATCTGAAACAGTTTGGTGTTACAGAAGCAACAGAAGTCTGTAAGAAGAAAAATACTTTTTCACAGTATTGAAATTAATTTATCTGTTAAATTTATAAATAACTTTAATATGAATATTTTTTACCTTCGAACAATCTTGCCCATCAGTCAACAATATAGAAAGTGTATGTAATAAATGTGTAGTTGAAAGTTGTTTCATAGTTGCACTTTTATTATCTGGATCATCTATTTTTTCATTCATGTGAAGGTTAAACTCAAAGATGAGAAAAAAAATTGAAAAATCAATTGCACTTTTAAGTTCCTCATTTGGTTTTATTGGTTTGTTTGCCCAGTCATGTCACATAAGCATTATTTTATTTTATTCAACAGCATCAATATTCATTATCTCAATATTATCATATTAAGACTTTCAGAAGAAAATACTAACTATTGTGAAAAAAGTTTCACTGTGTGAACTGTAAAACGTTGTTAGCTCCTAAAACGTAGCAAGAATCACAAAACATTAATTATTTCATAGGAACAATCAATAAAATTAAAACAGTTTCATGTCTTAAAGCTTCCACTGCTCATCAGCTGACGTTCTGGACGAAGGTTCGAGTCTTACAGGTTGGAGCGCGTGAGCCAAGGAAACTCCTGTAAACACAGACACCATCAAAATCCATTAGGTTATCATGTTAATATAGCATCCATCAAACCACTGGGGTTTATTGTCATTATTCTCAGGCTTGACTTCGTCTTCTATAACCATAAATAGATGCTAAACACCAATTTAACCAACCCACTTCAAATAAAAAGAAACAGGTTTTCTTCAGGCGCGGAGCTCAGCACCAGACACGGACCTTCACGCAACCTTCAGATTTGCCTGCTGAGGGTTGCGTGGATACATTCAACATAAACAAAGAGGGGCTGTGCTTTCTAATTACAGGATCCCTGAAATAGAAAGGCCAGCTTGGAGTTAGACGAAGGGATTGTGAGGGGGATACAACAGTTTGGCTATGCACCTGGGGTGCACGGATTAATGCTTCAGGGTGGGACGTCGGTCTACAAAGCGGTGGGAGGATGAGACGAGGGTCGAGCCGTTTGATGCTCCATGCAAATCCTGAACTGCAGCACTCTTTTATCCTTTAAGGACAGCCAGCTATGCTGCTGTGAGGGTCAAAAAGGTTCTTGTGCTCCCCGTTACTTCCTACAAAATCTAAAATTTTATATATATATATATATATATATATATATATATAGCTTAGGAATATGTGTAGTCTCGGGAGATGTAGTAATAGGGGAAGTACATTTGTTGATCCTTTTATTTCTTACAATACATTCTGTTGTAAGGAAATGTACATTTTCTTACACTGAGCAAGTTTTTGTCTTAAAAAATTCTAAGTCAGATCATAAGATTTTGCATTTGTTTATATTCCTGTCTGTTGCAGTTACCATACCCAGGCCACAGGGTGGCGTGAATTCACCCTACACCTCCTGTTTTATGGAGGACCAAAACTGACATAATAATAAATAAAAGAATAAATATATATCGGACATAAATAAATAAAAGAATGACTGTGAATGTAAATAAATGCAGCTAGTGTTTGGTGTCTAGTTACAGTGGCTGCTTCAATAATTCATGCTCTCCTTGACTGGACTTTGTCAGTTGATGATGTGGATGAGCATTTACTAATTATGTAACTTCTGAAGGCAATTGACTGGACTGAATTTTATTTAGGGTTGGCAGAGAAAAGGGGGAAGAAATAAAATGCTCACATCCTTTTTTAAATTTTTTTTCGTAAAAAGAAACAAGCAAAAAAAAAAAAAAAAGACACCGTTCCTTGCACTTCTTCATCATCCATCAATTCATGTTGGTCAATCAGATAAAATCTCAATGGAATACATTGAAGTTTGTGGGACGAATACAGGCACTATATAAAAACTGAGTCAATTCAGATCAGAACCGTGACGATCAGTGTAATTACAGAGGCGTTCATGTACCTGCTGCTTTCTGTCAGACGACGGGTCAATGAGCACGTTGAGCAGACTCGGTCTCTCCCAGTCGGTCAGGCAGAGCTGCAAGGCTTCGCGCAGCTCCTCCGCGGTCCTCACCAGAAACCCCCGACCTCCAAACGCCGTCATTACCTCATCGTAGCGGGCCTCGGGCAGAAGGGAGACAGGAGGCGCCCTGAAGGAGAGCACACACGTATAGGAAGGTGATTACACATAGAAATGCAAATTAGATTGTACAGGTTGCTCTATAGCTATGCTCTATAGTTAATGGAAGACTCACACAGAGGTCAGGTCACCCATTTTTGCCATTTCTTTCCACGTGTCGGCGTCTACCCCACTGTAAATGCCGTTATTATTGACCACAATAATGATCACAGGCAAATTATACCTAGTAAAAAGGGGAAAAAAAATAAAAATTATGTCCACTGGTGTTGGAAAAAGTAACATGACTGCATTATGAAAAACAGACCTGCACATGGTTTCGACCTCCATGCCGGAGAAGCCGAAGGCGCTGTCTCCCTCCACACAGACGACTCTTTGGGGTTTGATCCTGGTCGTCTCCACGGCAGCTGCTGCTATGGCGAAGCCGAGGCCGACTCCCATCGTTCCAAAGGTGCCCGCATCCAACCTTCACATCAACACAGATACCCCACACAGGCTCCTGAGATGACTTTATTCAGCCAATTTTATTGGCACCCTTATGGAAATATGTGAAATCCTTTGGAATAAGGAATCTGTTTATTACAGTGATGTAATTTCACAAAGAAATGTGGAAAAATCCATCAACTAATTTGGGTAATTTCATTCACCCTATTTTAGGGCAGCCAGTAAGTCTGCCACCTCTTATTTTGCTAAAAAATTATTTCTTGTCATATTTTTACCCAATAAAAGATATATTCTAGTTAAAGGTTGTTTCCCCCCCCCCTCTAAATTGCAGCAGTTTGAGATTATGCCGCTACAAATAAAATATCGATTTTTTTTTTTTTTTTCTTTTTTGAAAATCACATTTTTAAAAAATCTTAGCGGTGCTAAGAAATGTGACATTTCACTCCAGGCGTCCTTTGATCACATGTCAGGCATAGTTTCATTTTAAAAGATATGGGGTTAGGGCTAATCCTGGGATTGATGTTTGACAATTTAACCAATTTAAGACATAATTGTATTAAGTTGGAAATAAATGTCAGGTACGGCCATTTCTGGTAGAAGGAAATACTGTTTGAGAATTTAATATAAAAAATAAAAAATAAAAAGAAGAAAAAAAGTTAATCATAGATAAATCAAAATATATATTTCAGAGCAGCTATTAGATGTGCACTCATTTCCATCAGTCCACTCTGTGCCACTTGAAGCTTGACGCTGATAAAACGCCTCACCTGTGTCGGGGTAGGTAGTTATTCAGCATGGTGCGTCCGATGTCCATAGTGTTAGCACCCTCGCTAACAATGATGCAATCGCGTGGAAGCAGCTGAGAAATGTGATGAAACACAGTGTAGTAGTTCATGGGCAAAGTTCCCTTAAGAGCCAGAGCCTGTTACGAAAGCAAGAGCTTCAATTAGGAATATCTGCAAAGAGTTTGAAGAGGCAAGAGATTTGTCCGAAATTAGAGCAGTCGGACCCACCTTTGATATTTTTGCATTAGCAGCAACCTTCTTTCTGAGCTCGCTCCACCACCCGGTCTTAGAGGGATATTTCCAGCCATCTCTGCGGACACACGTCAGAATCTGAAGGAAAAAAAAAAAAGATACAATTATTTAATCCGTCCACATCTAGAGGAAAGCTAAAATACCGAATCTCATGTCCGACCTGAGACACAACAGCACCAACGTCCCCCAGGAGAGCAACACGTGCCTTCACGTTGTTTCCCATCTCCTCGGCGCAGAGGACAACCTGGAAGAAGCGTTTGGTTTCGTTTTGCTTACAGTGCAGTGACGCCCGCAGCAGCAGATTATCGTGCAAACAGGTTTTTAGCGTCTGTGCTGGTGTTTAGTGAAATACTGGCTACAACATTTACACACCTGAATGATCTTAACATGAGGATTAAATCTGGGTGGCAGACCAAAATGCAGCATCCAGTTTAGCCTCGCTCCGAGCAGGAGAACGACGTCGGCCTGAAGAAGAGCTCTTTGCGACAGAAAAAAAAAAAAAAGAATAAAAGCAATAAGCTTTGATTAATGTTTGTGGGAGACGCTCTTGTAAAGATGTGCAAAAATAAATATCTTTCATTGCAGAATTTAGGCAAAAAAATTTAGAAAAAATTAAAACAAAACAAAAAAAAACATGTAAATGTTCAGTTCTGGAGCTTGATTAGGTTACAGCGGGTGGCCGACCTGGAGCGGGCAGCGGCCACACAGCTGGGGTGATCGTCGGGCAGGACTCCTTTGCCCATAGGTGTGGGCAGGAACGGGAGCCCACTCTCCTCCACAAACTCCGTCAGCACAGCCTCCGCCCTGCTGTAAGCTGCTCCTGCTCAGAACACACACCTTCACAGCTTTATTCTGTCGCAGCTGATTTGCATCACAGACAAAAGAAATAAAAAGGTACGCCCCTATAAGTTTGAAAAAAATAAAATGCATATTTTCTTTGCATTACCCTTTCCAATGATGACCAAAGGTGTCTTTGCTGCTTTTAGGACGGAGAGGGCCTCTTCAGCTGCAGCGCTGGGGGCCAAACTCACAGGTGGAGGTGGACAGCAGGACACTTCCCTGCAGAAGAGATCAGTTTATCCTATTCTTTTACACTTTGAGCGGCCATTTAGATAAAAAAAAAAAAAAGGATGCATTGAAATCTAACAAACCTGACTCTGTCCCGCTCTACTTTAGCATTGACCATGTCCCCTGCGATGTCAACGTAAACAGCACCCGGGCGCCCGTATATGCTGGTGCGGACTGCCTGTGAGTGAACAAATACGATCTACTTCATTCTTAAGGAATCCTATTTGCGTGAAAACAAATAATAACGTAGTCACCTTCTCTATGACTGATGGGATAGCTTCCAGACTGCTGGGCCTGGCAGTAAACTTGCTGTAGAGGCGGCACGCCTCCACCTAAAAATGAATGAAACCGGAGTCAGAGCAGAGACTCGGAGTAAAAGAAAACCCCACAAGAAGGTAGAATCACCTGGGGAAACTCCTGAAAGGCTCCTGCTGTTTCCTGGTTTCGATCCGAGGAGCCGCCGATCACGAGCACTGGCCTGAGTAGAGAAAACACTTCCTCTACAGCCCCGCTACGTCAACCTTTTCACATTTTACAATCTCAAACGTCAACGTGATTTTTAGCTGGGATTACATTCAGCCTCTCAGTCAAAATATAGAACCATCTACTGCTCCAGATCTGTTACGGTGTCTCTACAGACTTTGACCATTTTTCTTAATGAAATGGTATAATCTCTCTAAGGAGCAGCTTTAAAGCCATTTCCAGTTTAATTAATCCACCTCAGTCTCAATTAATTTCAGTTCCCTTATTAAGCTTCATGAGTTTCTTTGCTCAATAATGTTCTCCAACAAACCTTTGAATGGACTTCATTTAATAATTAGGTGACTAATCATGTATGTTTTGGAAACAAAAATGAAAACTATATATCTTCAGAATTATGTACTTACTCTTTGTTGTCCTTCCATTGTCAAAAAAAATAAAAAATAATAATAATTGTAAATGTAATAGTTTTGGGGAGTGAATGAAAGCAACAGAGGTGACAGTGAAAGAGGAAAGTTTCAACACTGTGTAATACCAGCAGTTCATGTTGGCGTTAGCCATCCCACCCAGAGCATGAATGAGTCCAGGTCCAGACACCACCAGGCAGGCTCCTGGTCTGCGTTCAGAGGTCAACAGGAACGTAGCAACATGTTAGCAAGAAAGCGACACAACAACAACAACAACCCAAACACATTGTTCTGCTCAGCAAACAGAGGTCTCACCTCCCTGTTATGTATCCAACCGCAGATGCAGCATAGCACGCCTGTGGGGTGACAGAACAATCTGTGAGATCTAATCATTATACTGTGAGGATTTAGTCACTCTTTTAAAGAGTAGAGGGCGTTCGGATCATTTACCGCCTGCTCGTTACGCATTCCCACATATTTGATCCCAGCAGCCTGAGCAGCCATGGCCACTTCAATGATAGGAACACCGACTATCCCAAACATGTACTCCACTTTCTGCAGGGAGAAGCAGCATCTAAATGAGATCAGGTCATCAAATGCCTGAAGCTATGAAGTTTGGCAACTCCTGCAGCCCAGAACATGAACTCTGACACAGTTCTGCGGGGCAAAAAGCTACATCTGAACGCCCGATCTCACCTGAGTTTTCAGAGACTCGGCAATGAGCTGAGCGCCTGTCACTTCGTCCATGACTCCTGAGCAGAAGCTTAAGATATATATATATATATATATATATATACGTGTATTTAGCTGGATATTACTTCTGTGACTGCTCTGCTGTGACTTCTCAGCAGAGCACTATAGATACGCCCCCTTTTTGTTCCGTTTCCGGGATGAAGACCAATCAGCGGAGAGACGCGTGTCCGTCCTCAGAGCAGCTGGATGAAGATTCCGAATCTCGTTTAGGATTCAGCTCATTTGACTCAGTTCTAACTTAACAGCGGCGTTAAAATTAGATCCAGCACCAGGCAAAGCTTAGTGCCCCCTGGCTGACTTTAAGAACCAGTGAGCTCTCGTTCATAAAACAATTACAAATTCTCTAGAAATAATTTCTTTAGGCTTTGTTTGGCAGACTATTCATCTTAAACTGAACCACTGTACTAAGAACACCCGTTGAGACTTACATACCCGCTCCATCCTTCTTAAAGCTAGGAAAATATTTTAAAGTTATTAGAGGCTGTACTTTTGAAGCATCACATTTCAAGTTCAGTGACAGATCCGTCAATGAATCACACAGATTTTGCAGCTCAAATACTGAATAACCCATTTCCTATTTAAGAAATGCTTCAAAATTAAAAACTTCCACAATTTTCAGTATATATACATTAGCAACAAGGTGCATTTTGATGCAATTTAGAGTGAAATAATAAAAAAAGGTTAAGCACATATGTTCTGATGCATGCCTTGTGATAACCTTGTCAAAATAAAATAATCTGCACCACAAATGTATGTTTTAGAACTGAAGAGGAAAAAAGCTTTGAAAGCAAAATTATTATTCAATAAAAATCCTCATTGGTGCATCTTCAATATATATATATATATATGTATATATATATATATATATATATATATATATTTTTTTTTTTTTTTTACTATTTCTGTTATCACAAACACAATTATAGGGAATGCTGAAAAAAAACCAAGACCAATGCTCCTTATTAAATAACTCATTTATTACTCATAAAATATACATCAATCTCAGTACTGAAAGAACTCATTGGAATTTTGAATTCACAGTCATAATTTCTATATACATGCTAGTTTCATTCCTCTTCAAGAAAAAAAGCAAGGAAAAGAAATAAAAATCCTTCCCATTCTATTGATTCTAGCAAATGTACATATTTCCAGTTAAAATATTTTTGAACAAAACTTGAGTCTTCTGCATTCTGGTATAAGCGAGTGGTTTCTGTTTTTAAGTTAAAGCAAGCGAAACTAATATTAGATAAAAAAAGAAAAAAGTCACTCAGAAGAAAATCAAATGCTTTCCAAAATGCTGTCATTGGTTTACAGTGTTTCTCATTGCAAAGCAGAGTCACAGATGCCTCAGTGCCAGATCAGTGGACCTACTCACCGAAAGCACGCTTTCACAGCTGCCTGTACAAACCCCATACTTCCAGTAACTAATGAAGGCACAAAACGAACAAACAAAAAGCAACCCAAAAAAGTGTACAAATAATTTATTGTTTAAATTCTAAATGGTGATAAACAGGTGAATTTACAAAGGAAAAAGGTGGATCGACTGAATACTAACCTGTTGCATGTACCAGATGTCTTAAATTTACTCGGGTTAGTGAATCAGATTCCTAGAGGAAAATGAGTTTAAGACATTAAAATGGGTGTATTAAAATTTTGATCTTGAAAAATAAATGATCCCCCAAAACGTAAAAGTCCTTCTGATGGTTATAGTGTGCAGGTTTTAACTAAAACTTCTCTCTTATCCTTCCTAATCAATAAACCACCTGAAGTCTCGTTTGTTTTTTTTTTTTGTTTTTTTGTCGCTTACGCAGATAAAACGGAGTTAAAATTCATCCATGTCTTTTGGTCCCTGTTGGTTTAACTCTCTGTAGTGTGCAAGCGCACCTTTTTTTTTTCAGCGTCTTATTGCCTTAAAACAGCTGCCGTCTGCCCAACAAGTTCAGTTTTTAACACTGGAGAGGTCAGTGTTGGTAAAGCAGTGGTTACTGAGCTCCGGCGTCGGCTAACGGACGCCGTGTGCTGGAAAAGGTTGGGATGAGCATGGGCCAGCCTGTTGCACCTCGTCCCTCCTTTGTTTTCTGGTGGGGACTCTTAAGGCTTCCTGTTGGGGGCTTGCGTCTTTATTAAGCCCTCCCAAGCTCGCGGTGGGTGAATGATTGATTTATTTATTTTTTTTTTCATGTTAAGACACAGTGTATGCGTTTGTGCATTTAGCGCCACTCCTCTCCTGTCCGCTTCAGTACGTCTCCGAATCGGAGTCGTTGAGCTCCTCGTCCTTGTAGAAGCCGTCGTGATGGCCGATGTTGTTGAAGCTGCAGTAAGAGCTGTGCTCGGCGCGCAACGCGGGCAGGCTGTCAAAGGTGACGCTCTTGGAGGGACTGGTGGTGTAGTGGTTAACGGCACTGAAGGGGAGGGTAGGTGCCACGGTGCAGGGGGACACGGGCATCATGGTGGCCAGGATGAGAGCGAGGCAGTCTGCAACGTCTTTGTTGGGGGCGCAAGCCAAGGCGGGCGTGTAACCTGAAAAACAAACAAACAAAGATTGCCAACATGCCCTGGGAAATAATAAATGACAAATACCTGACAAATTCTGGTGCTCATTTTTTTGAATTACAAAAAAAAAAGCTTTAAGATACCAGGCTCACTTCTGTGAAACTAACCTTTAAATAATATTTAAATTTTTACTTTCCTATAAACTGAAACAAAATGTCAGACTTTCAGTATCAGGTCTGATAAACCCGACGAGCTCAAGATTCCCAGGCCAACACCAGATACAGGGTGAACGCGCCGACACATCTGGCAGCTTTCTGTTAAACCACCGTCAGATATGATCTAGCTGAATTATCTGCATTAATTTAGCGCTCTGAATGTAACCTGTGCTGCGAAACACCCAGTGGAAAAAAAAAAGGGACTTCCCTCATGAAGCAAATGCACCATCTGGATGTTTCTAATTGCCAACAAAAGTATTCTGAAAACAGTATTGTTAAAATCGGACAATGCTGCAGGGCTAATTAAAGTGAAATCAAATCAACTCCAGGTTACCTGATTAAAGGGTAGCAGAGTTTCTCTGAACTGGGATTTTCACAGTAGTTAAAACTCCCATTTCAATCTTAAGAATCTGAGCCTTACAGCCTGTTTCCAAATGTTTACTCCCTTTTGTGCAGCGCTGTGTGAATGAAAGTGTCTGAATGCCAGGGTCTGCGCAGCACCATACTGTTAGAAAATCTGTCCTGACTCACTGTCCTGATCGCCTCCTTATGCATTTTAAAACCATCTTGTGTGCCAGTGACTTAGTGTCTCATTCCAGTTCTTTGTGTTTTGATTTTATTTCGTCTTCCATCTCCAAAAATATTAAACCAGTGCATTTACAGCATTCACAGGCTTATCTGGTCTGTGGTCCCTATAAAGTCTACCAACCCAATGTCATATTTAGTCGGTGTCACCTGGCAGCACCGCTTGCGGCAGATGGCTGCTCACCCTGCAGCTGATGCCGTCTGAGGCGATTTCCTGGTCACAGGAGTCGCTTTGCATGGTTAACAAATGGTTTTACCAGCAGAATGTCTTTTCCCCTCCCAGCTTCTCTACTGAATGTGACTTATTTGTCATTTGAACCTGTAATAATTAAACTAAAAGTAATTTTCTCTATTCACAAATATACAAAACTTAAATAATATCTTAAAGTATCAACCTTAGTCAAAAGTGACACACTGGAACAGCTTAGTCTACCGTTTTAAAGAGAACGGCACATTTTCCACAAGAAAACCTCCCGAGGGGATTTTCACATGTAACAGTTCTCAGAAAAACACGAATCTTTTTAAATGTGTCGTTATCTTTTATGACCTAAATCGAGGCCTTCAAATTTTATTTTATCAAGCTAGTTTGTGTCCATTCTCGAATTATTTAATTAATATACTAAACTCTGACCACATGTCTGGCTGCAGTCACTCTACATAAACCCCAAACTCTACATACTGATGTAATTACTGAATTAGTCTCTGAAGGCAATGCAAAAACCAGTCCAACTTCCACATAATCAGTCAGGAGTTAATCATTTTGAGGAAAAAAGTCCAAAAGTACAGAAAGCAGAAAAACAATCCCTCTTTGTCTCTTGACAAGAGACACATTCCCCGAGTAAAAAAAAACAAAAAAAAAAAACAGATCTGCATGATTTAAGGCAATATTTACTTATGAGCATAGACTGCCAAGTTAATGACTTGGCTCAGTGTCTAACTTCTTAATAAATATGCAGTGGCACATTGCTCTCACCAGAATACAGAATTTCCATTGGGACTTTGTTTCTAAAGCAAGCCATCATTTTTTTTTTTTTATAAAGCTAGGATTATAGCACAAGTAAAACAACTGGACCACATTTCATAAAAATAACCGTTTCACAATTAAAAACAAGGATGTACTACGCTACAATTCAATTACCGTTTTCGTCGACTGCCAGGACGCTGGCTCCCTTCGCAAGCAGCTCCTGCACCACCACAATCAGCCCATTTCTTGCAGCCACATGCAGAGGTCTAAACAAAATAGAAAGATGTCTGTGTCAGAGAGGTATTTGTATTCGAAATTCTGTATGAACAGATAAAGAACTCATATTACGCATACGTCTGTAAGGCGGCGTTTGTAGCATTTATGAGGTTTCTGTCTGTAATCTTCTCCAATATCAACAAGGCACTAGTTTCGTGTCCCTGTTGAGAGTGTGGTACAGATGCCACAAAATGTTTAAATATGTGCAGTAAATAATCGAAACCTGAAATATGGGCTGTAATGTAAATATTACCACCAGATGGCAATCCGTACCTTACTGCAGGCCAAATGAAGAGCGGTGTTCTTTTCAGCGTCCTGTAGCGTGAGGTCTGCTTTCGCACTGCTCACCAGCAGCTCTGTGTGAGGACAGGTATGAATCTCAAGAAAAACTAATCTGATGTTTCATAGTTTGTAATTGAAAGCCAGCCTGACTGTCGCGACTCATATCAAGTTAAACGCTCGGAGGCAATCGTACCGACAGCGTTGGTCTGGCCGTTCTCGGCGGCCATCATGAGCGGGGTCTTTCCTGCGGCATCGACGCAGTTGACCTGAGCATTGTGGCTCAGCAGCAGCTGTAGACACTCCACATGATCAGTGAAGGCAGCAGCATGCAGGGGGGTCCTGAGGACAGTTTGAATGTGAAGTACGCCATCGTCAATTTAAAATATCGACATTAGATTCACTTTAAAAAAATAAAAAATAAAAGTTGCCTTTTACAAACCCTCAAGCCTGAAATTTTTATAATCAGGTGTACCTGCTTTTGCCATCTTTGGCGCTGACAATGGCGGGGCCCAAGGTGTCTATCAACATCTCAGCAGCAACTTCGTTGTCACGGATTCTAGAGAGCAGGAAAAGAAATGCTGGATGTTTAGTCTATTAAAAGCCGAGCGCTCTGACACACTGAGTGAAACCTAAGCAAGCTCAGACTCTTACACAGCACAGTGGAGGGGACTGAAAGTGTTGCCTTCGGCCTTGTGGAAAATCTCCAGTTCGAGCAAAACCTCCACACACGTGTCGTGACCTGTGGGAAAGACCACTTCGATTAAAAACCACTTTAGAAACACAAACATTTCTCATTTGGTTGCACAAAGACACTGAATGGAAACAAAAACTAAATAAAAAAAAGCATTTCTTAAGTGCTCCATTATGCTCATCTGCTACATCAGCAGCATGCTTGCATTTAAGTGCACACATGCTGCGACATCAGGTATACATATACACTTGAGAATATCAATATTCATTGATTGCTTGGTTTAAAAGGTCTTTCAACCTCCTTTGTCTGTACCATTGTAGCAGGCCCAGTGCAGTGGGGTGTAGCCTTGGCTGTCTGTTAAGGCAGGCAGTGTTTCCACTGATTGGGCAGCATGCAAAAGGCCTCCGAGTACCCCAATGTGTCCGCAAGCTGCTGCCAGGTGGATCGGCGTGCGCCCTTTACAGTCTCGCACCAGGACGTTGGCGCTGTGCTGAAGCAGAGCCTCCACACATTCTTCGTGACCGGTCACAGACTGATGACAGAGGACATTTTTTTTATTGATAATTTGTTTGGAAGGATATCCTGCTGCAGGCAAATCTCTAAGCACAACTAAGTAAATGGCACATAGATGTGCTTAAGTAATGTTTCAGCTCAGTTTTCATAGTTATGACAGTAATAATAAAATCTCCAACATCTGAAGGGTCCCATGTTTTAAAGTAGTGTTTAAAGAGACAAAAAGATCAAAATGATATCAGAATATTTAGTTTGACATGTTGCTAATCATCATGCCTTGGTCTTTATTCTATTGTTTGTATCACAGATATTCCAGATGTAGCTTGGCATCTGTGACCATTTGTAGTCAAATTATACATTTATTTTCTAGCAATTATTTTATTTAAAAAAACTGCTTACAAAACCCTGATCAACAAAGATGTTTGTATTACCCCATGCTCAATTTAAGGCCTTTGAAAAAAAAACTGCATAATTCCCCGCAAAGCAGACATAATCTAATTGAAAACAACAGCAGCACTCAGGTTAAGTGCACTCCTGCTACATAAAAGCTACTTGGTTAAAAGAAAAGGAGGAACATTGTACTGATGCATTTGTACAAGAGCATAGAACGACACAATCTTTTATGAAGAACAGATCTCCGTCTCTCTGTTTTGGCAGACTGTCAACATGTTTAAACTTCTGATAATGTAATGTTATACCACGCAGACCTAACAAAAGGTTTATACATAAACAAAATTATTAAAATATGAGTATAGACGTTAAAAGCATAAGAATGTCTGGCTTTTAAAAACATAACTGGAAAACTTACAGGTAGAAGCAATGACAAAATCAAAACAATAATGAAATCCTAAAACCCAAAGTAAAAACAAACAAACAAAAAATAATAAATCTGGATAAAGTAACCAATAGGAAGTTAAATATTCACATATATTTTCCTTTATCGTCATAATTCTTCATGTTTACGTCAATCTTTTTTTTTTTTTTGTGGCACTCACTTTTGGACAAATTGGGAGCTTTGGCCCAAAAATGATAAACACTTTGGAAAAAAGGTCCATTTTTACACAAAACAAAGTGCAATTGTATATGTGACACTTTCTAAATGTGTTTGTCTCAGCAATTTTAAACTCTGAATATTTAAGGTAAATATTGAGTAGAAACATTATGAGCTCTCCTTACTCCTCTATGCAAGGCCGTCCTGCCCCACTTGTCTTTGGCTTCTACGCTGGCTCCCTTGTTAAGAAGGGAATACACACAGTCCGTGTGTCCACTGAGGACCGACAGCATCAGCGGGGTCCTTGAATGCATTAGACAAAAATGTCAGCACTTGTTTTTAAACACAAACGTATAAACAGAGAAAGACACTTATTTACTTACTGTCCATTTCCATCTTGAATGTCTACAATACTTTGAACATCAGCATTTCCAATCAGCAAGCGCAAACATTCTGAATGACCATTAGTAGCTGCACAAAAGAAAGACAAGCATTACTTGTGACATTGTGTTTGAGAGTATAACCGTAGGAATGCCAAATTTCACAAGGTTTCTCTCCTCAGACGAGACATACCTGCAGCATGTATGGGGGTCCGCTTCAAGACAAAGTCTTTGACCAAAACGGAGGCTCCCTGGTTGATTAGAATGTCCACACATTCCACATGGCCTTTGAAGGCAGCTAGGTCTAAGGGCGTGCGTCCCTGGCTGTTTCTAACATCCAAATCCAGCAGAGATTGAACCAGAACCTCCATAGCTTGATGGTGACCATGGTATGCCTGAAAAAAAAAAAAAAAAAAAAAAAAAGTCATGTTGATACTGAAATCAAGTCCAAACTACAGGAGTTTTATTAACCAATAGAATAAAGTGTCTCTTTGCCAGTCTAATTTCCCTTTGGGGTATTAAAGTATCACTGAACTAAGATATCCAAACATTTGAACAAAAATGAAGCTTAGTGTAAAGCTTCTAGTGTTGATTTACACAAGTGGTGTAACTGAATACATGAAGTAGAATACAGGTTCTGTAAAACAGAAAACTAAAGTAACTCATGCTAGACTTCTTTTAATTTGGTTTGAACCAAAAAAAAAAAAAAACAAAAAAAACAAAGAAGAGCAAGGAGGCCTTAAGAGATCTTTCAACAGATTGGTGTCTTATCTTTTAAACGCCTGTGTTGTGTTTATTAGGAGTTTATTCAACTCAACGGGCATTGGAAACGAATGTGAATCATGACCCCTTTGGCTTTCCACAGTTTGATTTCTCTCCATCACGAGGAACCCGACATCTTTTCACGCTGCTGGCTGAAAATAAGCAGGGGCTTTTAAGCTTTTCCTCATCATTGTTCTTGGTTTGCTGTGGAATGTCTCTGTTTTTTAAGCTTTCCAAGGAACCCATCAAACTCTCCAATAATGTTGTAGAAAAACCCAACTTTTTTCCCCACTAGGAACTAAAAACCATCAGTTTGTACATGTCATTACCACCCATTGTTTAATCAATGTGGTGTGGAGCGCTTTAGACACAATATGAGCACATGAAGATCTCGTAATAGGTAACGGATACTTGCCAAAACTATTTGTATTATATATACACAATTCCTCACACGTTCAACACCATGACAAAACCCCACACCACTGACATTGCTTCTCTGCTTTCACTAAACCCCCACAATCCTGTGTTGCATCACCATCACAAGCTAAAACAAAACACCACATGATCAACCCACTCCCACCCAGAAAACACACACAAAAACAGAACCAAAATGGAAATAAACATCAGGTTACTATTATAAAGTACAGTTATTTATCAGATAGATACACTTCCAGACAGATTAGTTTGCTGCTGGTCATTCTGTGTTGTGGTTTTTAACAGAATTTGCAAAGTGAAATGAAGCGGCGACTCCACTAAGAATTAAAGTCTACTCACAGCAAGGTGCAGGGGGCTGATGGGAGCTCTGACATCAGTATCGTTCANACTCCCATTTCAATCTTAAGAATCTGAGCCTTACAGCCTGTTTCCAAATGTTTACTCCCTTTTGTGCAGCGCTGTGTGAATGAAAGTGTCTGAATGCCAGGGTCTGCGCAGCACCATACTGTTAGAAAATCTGTCCTGACTCACTGTCCTGATCGCCTCCTTATGCATTTTAAAACCATCTTGTGTGCCAGTGACTTAGTGTCTCATTCCAGTTCTTTGTGTTTTGATTTTATTTCGTCTTCCATCTCCAAAAATATTAAACCAGTGCATTTACAGCATTCACAGGCTTATCTGGTCTGTGGTCCCTATAAAGTCTACCAACCCAATGTCATATTTAGTCGGTGTCACCTGGCAGCACCGCTTGCGGCAGATGGCTGCTCACCCTGCAGCTGATGCCGTCTGAGGCGATTTCCTGGTCACAGGAGTCGCTTTGCATGGTTAACAAATGGTTTTACCAGCAGAATGTCTTTTCCCCTCCCAGCTTCTCTACTGAATGTGACTTATTTGTCATTTGAACCTGTAATAATTAAACTAAAAGTAATTTTCTCTATTCACAAATATACAAAACTTAAATAATATCTTAAAGTATCAACCTTAGTCAAAAGTGACACACTGGAACAGCTTAGTCTACCGTTTTAAAGAGAACGGCACATTTTCCACAAGAAAACCTCCCGAGGGGATTTTCACATGTAACAGTTCTCAGAAAAACACGAATCTTTTTAAATGTGTCGTTATCTTTTATGACCTAAATCGAGGCCTTCAAATTTTATTTTATCAAGCTAGTTTGTGTCCATTCTCGAATTATTTAATTAATATACTAAACTCTGACCACATGTCTGGCTGCAGTCACTCTACATAAACCCCAAACTCTACATACTGATGTAATTACTGAATTAGTCTCTGAAGGCAATGCAAAAACCAGTCCAACTTCCACATAATCAGTCAGGAGTTAATCATTTTGAGGAAAAAAGTCCAAAAGTACAGAAAGCAGAAAAACAATCCCTCTTTGTCTCTTGACAAGAGACACATTCCCCGAGTAAAAAAAAACAAAAAAAAAAAACAGATCTGCATGATTTAAGGCAATATTTACTTATGAGCATAGACTGCCAAGTTAATGACTTGGCTCAGTGTCTAACTTCTTAATAAATATGCAGTGGCACATTGCTCTCACCAGAATACAGAATTTCCATTGGGACTTTGTTTCTAAAGCAAGCCATCATTTTTTTTTTTTTATAAAGCTAGGATTATAGCACAAGTAAAACAACTGGACCACATTTCATAAAAATAACCGTTTCACAATTAAAAACAAGGATGTACTACGCTACAATTCAATTACCGTTTTCGTCGACTGCCAGGACGCTGGCTCCCTTCGCAAGCAGCTCCTGCACCACCACAATCAGCCCATTTCTTGCAGCCACATGCAGAGGTCTAAACAAAATAGAAAGATGTCTGTGTCAGAGAGGTATTTGTATTCGAAATTCTGTATGAACAGATAAAGAACTCATATTACGCATACGTCTGTAAGGCGGCGTTTGTAGCATTTATGAGGTTTCTGTCTGTAATCTTCTCCAATATCAACAAGGCACTAGTTTCGTGTCCCTGTTGAGAGTGTGGTACAGATGCCACAAAATGTTTAAATATGTGCAGTAAATAATCGAAACCTGAAATATGGGCTGTAATGTAAATATTACCACCAGATGGCAATCCGTACCTTACTGCAGGCCAAATGAAGAGCGGTGTTCTTTTCAGCGTCCTGTAGCGTGAGGTCTGCTTTCGCACTGCTCACCAGCAGCTCTGTGTGAGGACAGGTATGAATCTCAAGAAAAACTAATCTGATGTTTCATAGTTTGTAATTGAAAGCCAGCCTGACTGTCGCGACTCATATCAAGTTAAACGCTCGGAGGCAATCGTACCGACAGCGTTGGTCTGGCCGTTCTCGGCGGCCATCATGAGCGGGGTCTTTCCTGCGGCATCGACGCAGTTGACCTGAGCATTGTGGCTCAGCAGCAGCTGTAGACACTCCACATGATCAGTGAAGGCAGCAGCATGCAGGGGGGTCCTGAGGACAGTTTGAATGTGAAGTACGCCATCGTCAATTTAAAATATCGACATTAGATTCACTTTAAAAAAATAAAAAATAAAAGTTGCCTTTTACAAACCCTCAAGCCTGAAATTTTTATAATCAGGTGTACCTGCTTTTGCCATCTTTGGCGCTGACAATGGCGGGGCCCAAGGTGTCTATCAACATCTCAGCAGCAACTTCGTTGTCACGGATTCTAGAGAGCAGGAAAAGAAATGCTGGATGTTTAGTCTATTAAAAGCCGAGCGCTCTGACACACTGAGTGAAACCTAAGCAAGCTCAGACTCTTACACAGCACAGTGGAGGGGACTGAAAGTGTTGCCTTCGGCCTTGTGGAAAATCTCCAGTTCGAGCAAAACCTCCACACACGTGTCGTGACCTGTGGGAAAGACCACTTCGATTAAAAACCACTTTAGAAACACAAACATTTCTCATTTGGTTGCACAAAGACACTGAATGGAAACAAAAACTAAATAAAAAAAAGCATTTCTTAAGTGCTCCATTATGCTCATCTGCTACATCAGCAGCATGCTTGCATTTAAGTGCACACATGCTGCGACATCAGGTATACATATACACTTGAGAATATCAATATTCATTGATTGCTTGGTTTAAAAGGTCTTTCAACCTCCTTTGTCTGTACCATTGTAGCAGGCCCAGTGCAGTGGGGTGTAGCCTTGGCTGTCTGTTAAGGCAGGCAGTGTTTCCACTGATTGGGCAGCATGCAAAAGGCCTCCGAGTACCCCAATGTGTCCGCAAGCTGCTGCCAGGTGGATCGGCGTGCGCCCTTTACAGTCTCGCACCAGGACGTTGGCGCTGTGCTGAAGCAGAGCCTCCACACATTCTTCGTGACCGGTCACAGACTGATGACAGAGGACATTTTTTTTATTGATAATTTGTTTGGAAGGATATCCTGCTGCAGGCAAATCTCTAAGCACAACTAAGTAAATGGCACATAGATGTGCTTAAGTAATGTTTCAGCTCAGTTTTCATAGTTATGACAGTAATAATAAAATCTCCAACATCTGAAGGGTCCCATGTTTTAAAGTAGTGTTTAAAGAGACAAAAAGATCAAAATGATATCAGAATATTTAGTTTGACATGTTGCTAATCATCATGCCTTGGTCTTTATTCTATTGTTTGTATCACAGATATTCCAGATGTAGCTTGGCATCTGTGACCATTTGTAGTCAAATTATACATTTATTTTCTAGCAATTATTTTATTTAAAAAAACTGCTTACAAAACCCTGATCAACAAAGATGTTTGTATTACCCCATGCTCAATTTAAGGCCTTTGAAAAAAAAACTGCATAATTCCCCGCAAAGCAGACATAATCTAATTGAAAACAACAGCAGCACTCAGGTTAAGTGCACTCCTGCTACATAAAAGCTACTTGGTTAAAAGAAAAGGAGGAACATTGTACTGATGCATTTGTACAAGAGCATAGAACGACACAATCTTTTATGAAGAACAGATCTCCGTCTCTCTGTTTTGGCAGACTGTCAACATGTTTAAACTTCTGATAATGTAATGTTATACCACGCAGACCTAACAAAAGGTTTATACATAAACAAAATTATTAAAATATGAGTATAGACGTTAAAAGCATAAGAATGTCTGGCTTTTAAAAACATAACTGGAAAACTTACAGGTAGAAGCAATGACAAAATCAAAACAATAATGAAATCCTAAAACCCAAAGTAAAAACAAACAAACAAAAAATAATAAATCTGGATAAAGTAACCAATAGGAAGTTAAATATTCACATATATTTTCCTTTATCGTCATAATTCTTCATGTTTACGTCAATCTTTTTTTTTTTTTTGTGGCACTCACTTTTGGACAAATTGGGAGCTTTGGCCCAAAAATGATAAACACTTTGGAAAAAAGGTCCATTTTTACACAAAACAAAGTGCAATTGTATATGTGACACTTTCTAAATGTGTTTGTCTCAGCAATTTTAAACTCTGAATATTTAAGGTAAATATTGAGTAGAAACATTATGAGCTCTCCTTACTCCTCTATGCAAGGCCGTCCTGCCCCACTTGTCTTTGGCTTCTACGCTGGCTCCCTTGTTAAGAAGGGAATACACACAGTCCGTGTGTCCACTGAGGACCGACAGCATCAGCGGGGTCCTTGAATGCATTAGACAAAAATGTCAGCACTTGTTTTTAAACACAAACGTATAAACAGAGAAAGACACTTATTTACTTACTGTCCATTTCCATCTTGAATGTCTACAATACTTTGAACATCAGCATTTCCAATCAGCAAGCGCAAACATTCTGAATGACCATTAGTAGCTGCACAAAAGAAAGACAAGCATTACTTGTGACATTGTGTTTGAGAGTATAACCGTAGGAATGCCAAATTTCACAAGGTTTCTCTCCTCAGACGAGACATACCTGCAGCATGTATGGGGGTCCGCTTCAAGACAAAGTCTTTGACCAAAACGGAGGCTCCCTGGTTGATTAGAATGTCCACACATTCCACATGGCCTTTGAAGGCAGCTAGGTCTAAGGGCGTGCGTCCCTGGCTGTTTCTAACATCCAAATCCAGCAGAGATTGAACCAGAACCTCCATAGCTTGATGGTGACCATGGTATGCCTAAAAAAAAAAAAAAAAAGTCATGTTGATACTGAAATCAAGTCCAAACTACAGGAGTTTTATTAACCAATAGAATAAAGTGTCTCTTTGCCAGTCTAATTTCCCTTTGGGGTATTAAAGTATCACTGAACTAAGATATCCAAACATTTGAACAAAAATGAAGCTTAGTGTAAAGCTTCTAGTGTTGATTTACACAAGTGGTGTAACTGAATACATGAAGTAGAATACAGGTTCTGTAAAACAGAAAACTAAAGTAACTCATGCTAGACTTCTTTTAATTTGGTTTGAACCAAAAAAAAAAAAAAACAAAAAAAACAAAGAAGAGCAAGGAGGCCTTAAGAGATCTTTCAACAGATTGGTGTCTTATCTTTTAAACGCCTGTGTTGTGTTTATTAGGAGTTTATTCAACTCAACGGGCATTGGAAACGAATGTGAATCATGACCCCTTTGGCTTTCCACAGTTTGATTTCTCTCCATCACGAGGAACCCGACATCTTTTCACGCTGCTGGCTGAAAATAAGCAGGGGCTTTTAAGCTTTTCCTCATCATTGTTCTTGGTTTGCTGTGGAATGTCTCTGTTTTTTAAGCTTTCCAAGGAACCCATCAAACTCTCCAATAATGTTGTAGAAAAACCCAACTTTTTTCCCCACTAGGAACTAAAAACCATCAGTTTGTACATGTCATTACCACCCATTGTTTAATCAATGTGGTGTGGAGCGCTTTAGACACAATATGAGCACATGAAGATCTCGTAATAGGTAACGGATACTTGCCAAAACTATTTGTATTATATATACACAATTCCTCACACGTTCAACACCATGACAAAACCCCACACCACTGACATTGCTTCTCTGCTTTCACTAAACCCCCACAATCCTGTGTTGCATCACCATCACAAGCTAAAACAAAACACCACATGATCAGCCCACACCCACCCAGAAAACACACACAAAAACAGAACCAAAATGGAAATAAACATCAGGTTACTATTATAAAGTACAGTTATTTATCAGATAGATACACTTCCAGACAGATTAGTTTGCTGCTGGTCATTCTGTGTTGTGGTTTTTAACAGAATTTGCAAAGTGAAATGAAGCGGCGACTCCACTAAGAATTAAAGTCTACTCACAGCAAGGTGCAGGGGGCTGATGGGAGCTCTGACATCAGTATCGTTCACGATGTCTGTCCCTGAGGTTTCCATTAGCTACACACATTACAAGTCAGAACTTACAACGTTAATCTGCAATTCTTGAAGAACACATTAAATATGCAACTATGGTCTATTTTTAATGAATGAAAAGTACAAACGTTGACAGTGGAAAGAGCTGCAACACTACTCACCACATCTAAGGGTGTTTCGCTCGCAATCTGTAAAAGGATTAATGAGAAAATGAGTTAAACTGCATTGAAAACAACCCAAAATTTGAAATGGTACAGATCCCTCACCAGCTCCAGACAAAGACGGTGTCCGTACGCAGAGGCGTAGTGCACAGCGTTGAAGCCCTGACTGTCCCGGATCCCTGGATTTGCATCATTCCTTAGTAAATATTCCATGCACCTGGAAATGCAGCCAAACAGTCCAGAGAACCACATTGTAGTGTATATCTTTGGACACTAGTCATGTAGATTAGCCCTTTTTTTTTTTTTTTTTTTTTTGCAATCATATGTAAACATTTGCAACTAGAAACACGGAAATTTCCAAGGATTACTGACTTTCCGTCTGTGTCGGACGCAGCGGCGTAGTGGAGAGGAGTGCAGCCCCGCTCGTCCAGATCGTTGACGCCGGCTCCAGAGCCCACCAGAGCAAACAAACACTGGTAGTTACAATTGGCAGCAGCGTAATGGAGAGGAGTCCTGGAAGAAAAACAAACAAACACACACACACACACACCTTAGATACATATTTAAATGTGATGCTAGAGCCAAATGCATCTTTAAATGCCACTAACCTCCCAAAGTTATCTTTTCTGCTAAAGTCAGCCCCGGTGTTAAGAAGAAGATTGAGACATTCCAGGTTTCTAGAAAAGCACAGATATTTATAGCATCACCAAAATGTGATTACGTCACAATTATGTTATTTTCATAATATATATATCTTTAAAGGTCTCCTATACACACCCTCCAGCAGCTGCAGCATGTAAACATGTCCTTCCAAAGTCGTCCGGAGTATCAATATCAAAGCCTGTGTTGAGTAAAAGAGTTGTGAAAAACGCTCCGCAATTTTAATCTATAAAAGTATAAAATTAAATCCATTTTTAGTTTGCCTATCATACAGAATTAATATAAATAACCTGAAGACAGGAGCTTTCGGCAGCAGTCTGAGAAGCCACTGAGAGCAGCCAAATGCAGTGGAAACATGCCGTGAATTCCTCGTCTGAAAAACAAAACAAGTCACATAAATTTCATCAAAGTAATTTATCCTTTTAGGCACAGAGCTGCAAACTGACTCCTACATTAGGGAAATGACAACCTGTTAAAGATGCCCATCTTCATTCACAATTAAGTACTGTGGCAATATGAGCTCTGAAATTCTTTGCAAAAGCAGCTTTTAACAAGTTGGAACCCTTGCAGAAAAACAGCAGAGAGGTTTGCTTACTTTGCTGTGTCGGCTTTGTTAGTGATGAGTGTGTTAATGAGGAGCTCATGTCCGTATCGAGCTGCGATGTGTAGTGGCGTATTTCCGTTTTTATCTTCAGAGTCAATCTCAGCACCTTCAGGAATACGAGAAAAAACAAAACAAAAAACAAAAAAAAAAAACAGGAGCAAGCAGTTAGTTGCAAAACTCTGAAGGGCAACAAGGAGCTACGAAGTGGATTGTGTTTGTGCTCACCGTTTTCAATGATTGCTTGAGATCTGGAAAACCTCCCATGGATCGCTGTCATGTGGAGCGGAGTCTTCCCATCTTTACTCTAAGATAAAATATAAACACACTGAAATCTTCTACCAACAAGTTTTTTTTTTGGTTCAAGCCAACATGTCGTGGATGAACGTTTCACAGGTTATGTTATCGTGTATCATTTCTGGATTACAAATGCTACGGGCCTCCTCTACAGTGTAATTCAACCCGTCTAAAATCAAATCGAGATTTGTTTCCGCAAATTATCAATTTCAGAACTTCCACATTTTTCCAGACTTGGGCTCAACGATAAAGACAATATTTTACAAAGCAAAACGATTTTTATAAACTTTGTCAAGTCTACATAGTCGACAACTATGTAGTCTACATATAGACTGCAACTATAGTCTACATAGTTGTAGACTTGACAAAAGAAATGCAAATGATGTCACATTCCCACAAGCCCTTTTTGTGCAAGAAATCACTACAACAGTGGAGGCGCCATCACAGGACTTTCAACATCTGTAATAGTGAGTTACCTTATGAGTAGGAGGCAACTAATGACATTTAAAGTTAACATTTTCACCTAAGTCATGGCCACAGTAGATTCTTAGTGCATCATAACCCAAAAATAGAGGCAGATTATCAATATGTACATTTTTAAACAAAGAAAACACCAATGAATAACCAGCAACACCCACTTTTAACCAAAGATATTCCAAGTATTGAGAATCGGTGAACAAAAGCACAACAAGCCCTGCCTGACAAAGTTTCTCCTACCTTTATATTGACGTCGGCACCGTTGCAGACCAGCAGCTCCAGGCAGAGCGCCCCGTGGCGAGAGGCGGCGGTGAAATGAAGAGGTGCAAAACCCTTCTCATTCAACTGGTTGACGTTAGCTCCACAGTCGATGAGCTCGTTCACGACCACATCTTGGCCGTTGTAGCAGGCCACGTGCAAGGGTGTGTTTCCATACGCATTAGGTTCATTGATCTAAACAGGAAGATAAGCAGATGTTTACATGAGGATTGCTACTGCTGCTATAGGGAAATATATAGAGCCATTAAGCAAGAATCTGAAGCACGTCTACAGAGTGCTGATGAGAGGTTTGTGTGCAGGACTTACATCCACCCCTAAATCCAGAAGGTATTTCACAACGCTAATCATTCCACTAGAGGCTGCAGTATGTAGGGGGGTGTAGGATTTCTTATCTTTGCAAGCAACCTCAGCTCCATGACAAGCTAGTAACTTCACCACCTCTATGTGCCCTGGAGACAAAACAAAAGGGGTTCATTATGCCCACGCACTACCAAGATCAATTCCCAAAAAGCTTTAGAAACTCTAGCAACAGGAAATCCTTTTCCAAAACAAAAAAAACGATTGAAATGTTCAGTTCTTTACCCATGTAGGCTGCCCAGTGGATCGCACGACGATCCTTCTTGTCAAAAGCATTAATGTTTGCGTCTCTGGAGAGTAGGAGCCTCACCATCTAAAAGCAACAGGAAAAAAAAAAAAAATCCTCCAGATTACCATCACAGAAAGTTGAAAAATTATGGACTGTTCCTTTAAGAGCATGATTATTTATAAGTGCATGTAAAGATAAGAGTTCAACTGATTATCAACACCACATACGGCTAATATCTGATGTAGATCAATCCCAAAATAACTGATGTTTTTCCTAATCTTTCTCACCAATATGCTGGAAGAGAAAGATGGCAGTAGTTATAAAAACATACAACCTTCATGGTTGTACCTTCAGGCCGTCAATTTTAATGCATCAGCAACAAAGCAGCAGATTATGTCACAATGTTACTCAAGTTCTGAGTGCCTTTAATAAACTTGAACTTACTTCCGGGAAGAAAGATTAAAATTCTCTGAAAAAAAAAAAAAAAACAGCTGTTACACAATTCATTTCTAAAAAAAGAAAAAAAAAGAAGAAGAAAATGATTACTGATAAGTAGCACATAAGTACACTATATATATTATAAGCAGCTTGAAGTCGTGTTCACAGCAGAAGAACTAATAATGGTGCATATTTCCATAACTGAGTATGAAGCAGGTCAAAGTGAAATTGAGGTGTGTCAAAACTATGGCAAAACTTTCTGCTGTTTGCAGCTCTGACAGAAAATGAGCAGATCCATAAGAACATGTTGATCATTTTATGGTCAAAAATGCAGCTCTTGTTCTATGTTTCAACAGTACAAAGTCTATTGTGTTTACACAATTACGAGGCACTCAGAAAGGCTTCCTGTGAGCTAAAGAAGGAGACCAGGAAGTTGTATTAACAGACAAGCACACACAAACATGACAGCAAGCCTGGTCTGACAAGTTCAAGTAAACTCCAGTTTCTGCTGCACATTTCTAGGGGAGGAGAAGAACAGTAAGCCATGAAACATCAAGGCCATGTGCAGCTCTGTCCTCTTTGGGGGGGTTAACATTACCTCCAAGTGACCGCTGAAGGCCGCATGGTGCAGAGCAGTTCGGCCTGCTCGGTCAGATACATTCACATTACTGAGGAGGGGGACGAGGGCTTCGGCACAGCGAACCGCCTTGTTGGCTGCGGCGATGTGAAGCGGCGTCTGCCAGTTCTTGTCTCTGGCGTTCACGTCTGCAGAGTGTTTCAGCAAAATCTGGACCGCCTCCTGCAGGAAATATTACTGTTGATATTCTGCTAAACTCTGGTATGAAAAGCAGACTGGAAGACAAAGCATGACACAGGATCAGAGGAATATTTGCCTACCTCACAGCAGGAGGCCACAGCCCTGTGCAGAGGAGTCAGCCACTTGCTATCTTTGGCATTTACTCTTGCACCTGCAAAGGAGGACGACAGAGTGGGAGAGCCTATTTGAAGCTAAAAGCAGGAACAAAACATTTACTCATTTGGAGTTTTGTGTCCCACAAAAACAAAACAAACAAAAAAAACAAAAAATAGAACAGAGTTGAAATTACTTTCTGATTTGCTAGTGTGGTAAAGGGCTAATCCCCATTAGAATGGCAAGTGAACGTTGTGAATATATTTACTTTGCATATAAATGCGCAGGATGACCACGAAAAGCAAATAAGCTTCACATTGCTGATTCATCTGTAAGCCAAACCCTCAGCATTGTATTTGTGCTGCTTTTATTCCACCTGCTGCATCATCAACAAATGACCTAAAGGTGGTGGACAGGTGCTTCCTTCCAGAGTGATCAAAGATGTGTGCAAAGCAGGAAAAAGTGAAAGGTTTCTGTGTGCAGCACCGTCCCAGGAAAAAAAAGTCTCACGCAGCATAAATCTGTTTGTTGACAAAGTTATGGTGCTTTTCCTGACATTTTGAACGAAAGCAAGAGGTTATGAACTGACGGTAACCAAAAACAGCCCTGCCAGTTCTTCCAAAACACTACAGGAAAGGGGACCAGTGAAGAGATCCTGCTCTTCCCTGAAGTCATAATGGAAGAAGATTGACCTTTAAGAAAAAAAAAAAAAAAAAAGGGGGAAAAAACCTCAAGCAGGTCGGTATCTCAAAGAAACTGTCATCAACAGCTTTTAGTTATGATGTTATTTTATTAATATTCAATGCAATGTTTTTTAAAAAAAAGGCTATTCTAGTCCTCAAAATTATTTTTGATAAGTTTTTAGTGTTATGTGTATTTGGAAGGTTTTAGTAAATAAATTTAACATCCTTATTTTGCCCACATTTTATTGTGGTGCAATTTCAAAACTGTGCAGGAACTCTACATTGCTCATCTTTACATCTTATTTAAAAGCGAAGCTATTAAAAAACTGGAAACATTTTAGAACATAAAAATGTGAAAATGGAGTACTTTGTCAATTTTGAGAAAATACAGGCTATGCGATTAACTGTGTTGGTGCGGCACGCTGGGTAACATTAGAGCGGATGCTCCACACATGAAGGCTAAGAGTCGTGGACCCAGACATCCAGGGTTTGAAACCAGCTCAGGGCTTTGCTGGATCTCTTTCTGTCCAGTTTTTGTCCAAATACTGTGGATAAAGGCCACTGGCACAAGAAAAAAATAAAATAAAATCTTCTTACGTGTGACCATTTTTAATGTAAACATCATATGACCACAGACCTATTCAGCAGAGTTTTACATTTTAAAAACATTTACACATCATAAGATGAAAAAAATGTTCAGCGTTATCATACTGTTGAACTGAACCAAAGTACAAAGAAGAAACTGCTTTGAGGTCAAATGGATCCCTTCAATCTGATTAGGGAACCTACCTGAAAGAATCAGTAGCTCTATGATTTCTGCATCTCCGAGATAGGCAGCAGCGTGCAGCGGAGTTCGCTTCTCGTTATCCTGTAATAAGTAAACAGAGAACGATTCCTGTGGTTAATCAGAAACAAAACGGCTTCAGTTGCTTTGTTCCCCCCTCCGGTTACACTCCGGTTGCCTCTGCTCTGGGAGTGAAAGCCAAAAAAGTTTTATAAAAGACAAATACACGTTGAAAAAAAAAAAAATCCTTGTTTTATCATTCCACTCCAGTCAAACACAAACACCAGCCAGACTCGAGCTCAAACACCCCCACCAGAACAATAGTGGTGAGGTGTGCAATAAACTAAGCAGAGCCAGATTATGCATTGAGGACTGTAAAGTCAGACCATGCGCTGGTTTGTTTACAACTGACAGAAAGTGCTGCATAAGGCCTTCCAAGGACAGCTACACACTGGAGATACGCAATTCCCTTATTTTTTTAAGATGCATTTTAAACTACAGGACAATATGAGGAAACAGATGCAGATATAGATGGCTGCTGGAGTTACCTGCACATTCACATCCTCTTTTTTGAATATGAGAGAGCGTACGTCATCTGGGTCCACATTGAAAATGGCTTTCAGCAAAGGAGGCTGTGAAAAAACAGTTAAAGATGCATTAAAGCACTTATTTTAAATGTATTTAACATGTAGCGCTATATTAAATTGAACATTAGAACAACCTAAACGTAAAGTAAGCCAAATGAGCTGCAAGTAAGAACCTTCTAGGTATTATTTGCCATGCAAATAGTTAAAGGTGGGGGAAAAAAATAAATAAATAAATAAATAAATAAATAAAGACGGTGCTGAAACCTTCAAGCTACAGGAGAAGTCAGGGTCTTTAACATTAAGAACCACGATCTGATCTGTGAGCTCATCTGCTCACAGGTCAGATCTTCTCATTTTACACAGAAATGTAGAAGAGTGAGAGCACCTTGTAACTGAGCTGTAAATAAAGTGATCACGCTTTTACACTTCATAGTACGTTCTCAGAAATCCTTTCTGCTTTTACGAAGAAGGCAATTGCTAAAATTGTCACCGTCTGTGAGCAAAACAAAGTAGATCCCACAGAGATGAATATCAGTCTTATAAGTGAATGCTCTGTCTGTAGAATCCAAATTAGATATAGCTGCCCCTCTTCACTTTTCCTCCAGATAAGCTTCACCAAAAGAAAAAGAAAAAAAAAGCATGTGGCTGATTTGATACACATCTAAACAGAATCACAAGCAGCAAAAATCTGACAGTTAAAAAAAAAAAAAAGAAAAGAAGAAGAATTGAACTTCTTTGTAAAGTCAAACTCTTATGCATCAAGTGAAAACCCGGCTTGGCTTCTTAAAAATAGTAAAGTAAGCCCCGCTCTCCACAGCAGGTCACACAGGCAAAGAAACGTAGGTTTTACACAACTAATTAGGCTGGCAGTATAGGGATAAACGCATAATATAATAAACAAGATAATTGCATCAAGCATGTCTATAGGAATTCATAACCACATTTACAAAAAAAATTTTATCAGACATCTCCATTGTCAGATGGGACTTTAAAACAAGCCAACTAACTCACTTTCAGCTTCCTGAAAGAAGGCCAACACATTTTTCTACGCTTAGACAGAAGGAAGATTCCAACATTCAAACACTTGTGGAATGGAAACTAAACGAGTGCCACCCATCAGTCCTGTTAAAGCAACAATATTAAAACTACAATAAGGAAACTCAGAGCAATGTGTCTGCTAAAAAAAACAAAACAAAAAGAGAACACAGGTTCTACCAGACTCAATGACAAACTGCTAACATCAACTATTCATACTTCTACATAGAGCATTCTTGTGAATAGCAAACACTTGAGAACCAATAACAAATTTAGTGGGCGTTTATGTATATTCTTAAGTCCATTTATCAAAATAAAAATTAAGAATGGTCATAGATGGCAATAATGTAACTTAATGAATATGTTATAATAATTTACTAGCAGCTTGCATAACTGTTGCTTTATGTTGTAAATGATCATGTTTTGATTTCTTATCTTTAACTTTAATTTTGTATCTTGAATCTCTGTGTGGGCAGAGCAATAGTGAGAAATTGTGGCTAGTTTGTACTCAGAGTTATCAGATTGACTTGAATCTAGCACTAATTCTACTTTCAGATCATTATAAATGTTAAATAAGGTTTAATATTTAAGAGTAGAAGAAAAAAACTGATCAGATGTGCATCTGAACAGTCTACTTCTGCCCGTAAAGCTGCATCCATTAGCCAATTCATTCATCCATACATTCAGAACAATGCAGCATGTACAATTACATTAATTCACTTAGACATATTCCCTCGTTTAACTCACCAGGCAACCCAGCCAGTCAATTATGTAAAGTGCAGCCATGCAGTTTGGAAGAGGTCATGCAGAAAACACGTCTTCTAGTATGTATGGCAGAGCTTGAGCAACTAACTACAAGTTGCGAGTAAAAAGAGCATTAGGCAACCCTGAACGAAGATCATTTCTGTACTACTTCCACTTATGTCCCAGTGACTCACAAACACAAATACAGGTTCACAAAGCCGTTTGTTAGAGATACAAACATACTGTCCCTCTTTAAAGTATTCACATCCCTGGAACTTTACCACATGTTCTCACACTATGACCACAAACTACCACATTTATGGCCATTGTGCATAATAGGACATCATTTTCTATTTTTATTAAAAATCTGAAGAAAAGGTGTTATGCATTTGTATGCACAGAAGCTTCTAAGGCCATAGGTTTAATGGGAATAAAAATAAATAAATTAGCAGCGGTTACAGCTGCAGATCTTACGGCGTACGTCTCCAGCAGCTTTACACGTCTAGATAACTGAAATGTTTGCCCATTCTTCTTTGCCTCAAGCACATTACAGTGTCTATGAATGTCAGTTTTAAGTTGTGCGACAGATAGTTTGATTAAGGTCTGGACTTTGATTTGTTGATCTAAAGTTATTCCACAGCAGTTCTCGCTGTATGCATACGGTGTGTTTTCCTGCTGGAAGCCAGAACTCTGTTGTGGTCTCAAGTGTTTTGCAGCCACCGACAGGTTTTCTAGGATTCCCAATATTCGACCCCAGCCATATTCCAATCAACAATGCTATACTCCCTTGTTCTGGCTGAAGAAAACAATCAATGCAGCTGCTACCACCATTGTTCTCCATTGGGATGATGTTGTTAGTGCTAGTTAAATCACAAATTTTGCATGTAGGTCAGGAAGTTCAATTCAGATGTTCTTGTATACGGCTTCTGGAAAGCTGCGTAAAGGGATTTCTTATAGCTTTCTTTCAACAATGGCTTTCGTCTTGCTGATCTTCCATAAACTACCGATTTGTGATTTGAGAAGAACGCAGCGAATAGTCGTCTTCTTACCGATCTCTCCAGTCCCTCCAGATGTACCGAGGTTCCTCTTAGCATTCTGTGTCCATTTTTGGATGATAGCTTTAGCAGCTATCCCCATAAGATGTCCAGGGCTTGGGGAATTGCTTTATAACTTCATGTTTAAAACTTCTTTACAGCTTAATGCATGACTTCAAATTACATACAGATGGCTTCAATTTAGTAATGAAGCGAGTTCTGTAGGTAACTAATGACACTGTTTTTTTTATTTTGAGAAGTGAGGGTAAAAGCAGAGCCGAGTACTTATGAAGCCACATTTTTTAGATATTTGCAAAGATTTAGCAAATTATGTATAATTTTCCTTTCATTGCATTACTATGCTTTACTTTCTATTAAACAAGCACAGAGGCCGACTGTGGCTCAACAGGAAGAGTTGCTTGCTCACAGTATGAAAGTTGTGGTTTCCATTCCTCTGCTGCGCATGCATGGCAAGGCAGCCCTAAATTTACACAAAATTTTCCAAAGATCTACATATGGGTGTAGATCTTTTGAATGGTCAGTACAACTAAAACGCCTATAAAAAATGTTGTCCATTTGAAGTTTGTGGTTGTAACGTGACAAAATGTGGATAAGTTCAAGAGGAATTAACCCTTTTGTAAGGGACTGCGCCAGTTTTAGGAATCACTTCAGAAGTTTACAAGGGATTGCAGGTGAGAATGTCTTTCGCTTGTCAAAGAGAAAACATCTAATCGGTACAAAATGAAAGGCATGCCTTTTCAGATTAGTTTCATTTTTAAAACAATCTGGTCAAACAACAATAGCAGGACACTTTGCATAAGTTTTGCGCCGCTACTTTTTTTTTTTTAAGGAAAAAAAAAAAAAGCAAGCCATGCAATTCTCTAACAATGAGCATCATCAATGTCTGTCTAGAAGAAATGGTGAATAGCTGCCGAGCTTTTCCACCTGTTGCCGTATTTATTTGTAAATCCTCCTCACACAAAAGGAAAGATCTGCATTCAGCTATTTATGGTTCTCCAGTCCCGGACGAGTGTTGAGGGAAATGTTCTACGCTCCTCTCTAGCTGCTCGCCTGCGTGCACCTCCTCTCCTCACGTAGAAGCCAGGCCACTTAATACCATCACCATGGAGACAGCTCACTGGCAACTCCACTGGCTAACAGGAGCCCCAGCCACACGATCATTCAAGCACGCAGACAATAAAGGACACGTGCACGTACATATGTGACAAGAATAGCATCCGTGTGCAAAAACAAATCCTTCAACTGCAACACAGAGAGCTATTCTCACTTTCAGAAGTAGGTGTCAAGTGTTAAACATAGCAGAAAGGGACCTATATCTGGTTCCACTAAAATGCCAGACATCTCATTAAAATTATAAGCATTAAGCACATGGATACACCTGCATTAGACATTTATGTAGTAGAAGTCAATAAATGGCTCTGAAAACATTCATACATATGCACACTAGACCTGTTAACAAAAGTAAGTGGTGAATACAACTTAACTTTTTGTAAAATACACACAAAATGACTAAACTGACACGTAGTTGGTCATAGCTCTCATTGTCTTTCAATAAAGTTATTGTTCCATTCAAAGAGAATTACAACTTACACACCTTGCAGTCGAAAAGTTATTATTTAATGTTTTTTTTTAATGTTAAGTACAATTTTACTCCACACAATTTTGTGCAGCTCATCTTACCAAAGTGTAAATAATGTCACAGACATTCAATTGCAGCAGTCAAACAGAGCCCTTGACATCACACTTCATTACAGGGATTTAACCACTGATACCAACAGCATGTTCACTTTAGGTGACTACTTAAGGTCACTTTGGTTGATGTTTTATCCCAGTATTCTACCTAATCACTTTGGATACGAGTAGCCATCATTTTATGTCGGCTCTGACTAATTGCTGGGTATAAACACTGTATCATTAGCTGGTTTTAACTTCGTAACAGCTAATCTCTCATTTATGCTAACAACAGGTTTTACATCCGATACGTCAGGGTGGGCCATAACTCACTCTTTTTCACACAGTTCTCCTCAATTTTGTTTCTTGCTTAAGTAAATGCATTTAAAATGCTTCCGTTTCGGAGACTAGCCACGAATTACATTCCGTTGGCAAATGCAGAAATTGGGAGAAGCTAAGCTAACATGAACCATTTTTCATTCTCACTTACCTGGTCTCGAATTTTGAGAACCACCATATTTCTGTTATTTTAACTGTTCTCGTGTAGATTCATAAAGAAATGTTGGTCTCGTCTCCCTCGTTGTTCTGACAGAGGCCTAACTGGACTCTAGCTTAGCTCCTGCGTTAGCGTCCTGTGCTGATGGCATGAAAGCAGAGAGGCAGCGGAAACTCCATAACATTGCCGCCACCGTATTTCACCCCCTCAAAAAGACAGCGTACAATTGGCTAACTGACCTCAACGTATTAGTAAGTGTCTTCGTGGTTGGTTGTTGCTAACACTAGCGTTTGACAGACGCAACATTTTATTTGCGTTTCTAGGAACTCTCTCACGGGTGTTCTGTAAGAAAACATTTTAAACAGAGTGAAATCTATTTTGTTTTATAGTTTTATGTAACAAGAGCCAATTTTAGCTTAATGTAAAATGCTTTTTTGGGAAGTGAAGTCGTATTTCTTATTACTCACATAAGCGTGAGTCATCTTTCAGCTTCTATGAAACATAAATACTAGAATATTATGTTATTTTAAGATGTATGGACGACTGGAATAGTTTATCTCTTAAATAATAATAATGATAAAACATATCAAGCTAAACAAGACGAGAGATAAGTTATGTATACATTACATATTGAATATGCAGGGAAAGTTGAGTGTTTTGCAAATAAGCACCAAGTCGGGTGTATATGCGCTTTCCCAATTGAGGAAATCTCGCCCTCTAGTGGCCTACTCTTCAACTACAATCAAGACTTACATGTAAAATATCCATGTCTACAATTATTTTTCAGTCCAGTGGGCATTTTATAACTTTTCAGAGTTAATCCTGTCATAAATAATAATAAACTGAACTGATCTAAAACAAACTAATAGACTAATATGTTCTCTGTGTGTTGCGATGGATTCTCATTTGTGAACTGCATAATGTTGCGCAATGATCCCGGATGTCACGATGTGTAATTCAGTACTTAAATCGTTTTTGGATTGTTGCAGCTACAGCAGCAGTAAATAGTTTGTGATTTCCTGTACCCAGTGGAAACAGGGCAGGCAGAAAGAACAGAAAGTACATAATCGAAGGGTGCCACAAAAGCCTGGATACAAATCTCTTTATGGTGCCGTCTGTGACTAAATGTTTCTGTTGCAGGCACACAGCCACAATTTCCAGAAAACTCAATTGCAATCTATGGTATGTGAACATCTGTAGTGACTTAATGAAGACAACTCAAATAAACTCCTAAGGGCTAATTTAGAAATGATCCCTTAGGTGTAACTGTTACTCATTTTATGCAGAACTTTGCATCTTTCACAGTCCAAGTGCCTTGCAGATGTATTCATATTCCTCAAATTTTCCCCCACAACTTTTCAAATTAGAACCATTTCAAATTTCAAATTTCATCATTTTTAATGGGACTTTGTGAGCTAGATTAACACAAAGTATTGAACTAATGCAATCCATTGCAGCCAACCGGCATCAGAAGTAACCCGCTTATTAAATTACTTCTATATGCATGTATTTAATGTCAGTATAAATGCAAATGTTCTGGGAAGGCCTCAGAGTTGCAAAGCATCATCAAGAACAAGAAACACATCAGAAAAATCAGAGATGAGGTAGTTGAAGTGTTTAACGCATGCTTAAGTTTTAAAAAATAATCTCACAAAGCACAATCCAAGCCATCATCCAAAAATAGAAAGACTCTGGCACAACTGGAATCTTACAAAGACATGACCATTCACCTAAGCTGAAAGCATTATTTACAGAAGCTGCCAAGGGCTCCTTGTTGACTCTAGAGATGCTGCGGAGATTCACCAGACAGGTGAGATAATCGGTTAAAAGAGCGACTATAAGTTCTGCACTCCATCAGTGTGGCCTTACTGGCAAAAAGTAAACGATGGTTTAAAGAAAGAAATACAAAGTCCTGTCCGTAAGTCAACACAAGCCATGTAGGGAGCACAACAAGCATCTACAAAAGTTTGATCTGGTCAGATTAGACTAAAATTGACCTTTCTGGCCAAATTTAGAAAGCTGACACTATTGACAATCCTTACAGTAAAACACGATGAGGACAATGGCATGCCATTTGAATTCTACTCTACTGCAGCAACAGGAAACCTGATCAAAATGGATAGAAAAATGAATGGAGCTCAATAGTTGGCACAATGTTCTATTTTGAAAACTGCTTTTGCAGAGTGCTGAGCTTTAAAGTACATCAACAGCTAATCCCCATTTAATAGATGTGGAATTTGGAAATAAAGTATGTTCGCAAAGAAAGGCAGCAGTCAGTGATTAACAAGAGTCAGAAAGAATGTGAGAAATGTTCACCAGCTTCTCTGAGTGGTCTCACGTTTCATTGTGGTGGATAAAACAAAAAAGAAAAGAGGAGGGAAAAATGTTGCTGGAGTTTTGTGGATAGCGTTGCTTGCACACTGGTCACCTTTGCTGTAGGTAATCCCCTGGCTCTGTCACTAAACCCCCACAAGAGCCGCAGCAACCCTAGCAGAAATACGTCTCACCAGGGGTGGCTGTGATGGAGCTGCGTTCCCGCAAATTAAATTAGGAGGTGGAGGAACAGCGGAGCAAAGGCACAAATGAAGAAAACAGATGCCTACGTACATGCCTTTAGTCTTTCCAGCCTTGGTTTAAAAACTGCACTCTGGCCCTCTGTTTTCACCAAACTCCAGTTTACAGCTGTAAAAGTGCGAAAGAGGGAGGCAATCGGAGGGAGTAAAAGAGCAAAATGAGCACAGATGAGGACAGAAGTAATGTTCCCAGGTTTTACTAAACAGCAAAACACTGAGAGTCTGATGGCCACAGACTTATCAGGACTAAAACTGCTCGCAGCTTTCTTACCAAAGCAAACACCCTGCTGAAAAATGATAGAATCCTTTGTTTCCTGATAACAGCTGTGAAGTCTTGAAGAGACAGCCCCCACAGATGTGCATGAAGGACAGTGCCTTGTGATGCTCTGATGTTTGGCTCTCGCAGACGTCTGTCAGGATGAGAGATAGAACACAGCTGGACAGTCGGGATCCTGGGATGAAAGTGATGTCGCTTTGCCATGTCAGTCCCAGCTGCCGCGGGACGGAGCGAAGACGGGTACAATTTGGAGTTGGCGGCTTCCCATTGCTCTTCCGTGAAAATGATGCAGAGCCAGACATCACATAATTACCAAGTCCCTGTCGACTTAAGGGTTTGTTGAATATGCAGGTGTTATGGAAAAACAACAACAAAAGTATTATTCTCTCTTCTTGTCAGTTCATCTCACATGTTTTCTCGTAATTAGGTCTGGGGCCATTCAAATAAGGTGAGTTTGAGTTTGATGAAGCATTTCTGTGTTGATTTGCTAATGTGTTTTGTAACAGTACAGTTGTGACATTAGTTTCTGACAGAGTTCACCAGATTTTTATATCATATCTTCTGGTATTTCGAAGAGATGTGTGTTGTCATACTCTACAACTAGGTTTTCACTGCCTTTTGAAGATGAGCATGGCTACAACGTCGCAGTACTTTCACCGTACAGTGGCTATAAGGTGCTTTTCCACTTTCATCCTGTGTATCATGTTAAACCCAGCCGGAGTCTTTGTTTTGTAACAGCTCAACCTGAGACTCATCTGATTAAAGCACACAATTTTGATTAAAGACTATACCATGCAGCAAATTCCTCATCTTTACATGTATGATGGGAACTAAATATGCTTTTTTCATGAAGCTCCTCCCCAACAACTAGTTGGTATGAATAGCATATGACCCATGCTTAATTTACATTTATTTTTATTAAGGGATTGTTAGAGGGGGTGCAAAACATTGTGCCACCAGTTCTTGTATTTAGAAAAAAAAATTCTCCAGACCTTCTTTCCATCCCACTTGTTAGATTAAAGGTTAGATTTTTCAAAAAATATATTTTGGGTGAGGTTATTCTACTGGAATCAAAAATAAATTCATCGAGAGGCACTGACACAAAACATTCTATTTTAGTTGACCTTGGTCTCTTGAAGGTTAGTACATTGTCCCTAACCTTGGAGGAAGATGGATGCACCCTCAATAAATGCATTGGTTTAAAGAGACAGCATCCTGTGTTGGGCTGCAGAGACTAACCTATATAACTGAGGGACAAGAAGAACAATTTGAGGAGATTTGGAAGAACTTGGTGAACTTTCTTGAACGTCAGAGACCAATACTGTGATGCTGTGTTGCTATTTTTAGAATGGTTTTAGTTGATTGTTTTGACAAAAAAAAGTAACAAATATGTAAATGTCTAAAGGATCCACTTGTGTTAAATATATATTTTTCATTTTATACTGAGACAGTCTGTGTAAAGACTACTAAAAATCAAAGAAGCAAAGGATATGGAGCTTGCAGAGTTTGTAAAGGTATAAAGCTGAAGCACAAGTTCACAGTCACCTTCGTGTCTCATAAGGCCTCAGGTGAATTTCTTGTCACAAAAAGAAATGATTAAGAATAAGCCACTGCCAAATAAAAAATTAATTAGATTTGAAAAAAAAAATGTAACCCAAATTACAGAAGTTCTTATTTGCTTTTGCTTTATATTTCATTAACTATCTTTCTACAGATGTGTACTTATATTAGTTTCAAAAATATACTTAAATGTTCTTAACATTTTACATTAATTGAACTCAGTATTGACAATATATGTTCACTAATCAAACTGAAACGCTGTGGTTCTTAAAATTAATCCTGAAAGCTCTCAAACTGGCCATAAAGGTCATAAAACAAGAGACAATATTTTCATTTAAATGCTATTTGAACATTTTCAGGTAATGTTGTTTGTAAATTTACCAAGTCATAAAACTTGAAAGCATTTCATTTGAAGAATAAAGATGGAACTTGAATTAATTTTATGTTTCCCACATTTCTAAATAGTAACAGAAGGATTAACAAAATAACTGTAAATAACAATATATGCCAAGGACATAAATATTTTATTTTACTGATGAACAAAGCAAGCAAATCAGCTTCTCCCACATGACAATTGCCAGTACGACCATTAGATGGCACTGCTCCCGTTTTAATAGTCTTTTGGAGATGACGTTATTTTTAGAAGGTGCGTCACTGCAGCTGTTCACATTTTGAACTTCAGTTATGCAACAAAAATCAAACAATAGCTTTTTTTTTTTTTTTAGCCATAACAACTCTACAGTTTTCATAAACCTAAATCTTCTCGTGCAGCAATTTTAAATAGCTATGGTGAATCTTTCACAGAAAAAGTTTGGAATATAATTTATAGTTCCACTTGAATTATTTAAAACGTTTAGTAGAACAATATAGCACTAGTAAAACTTATTGCCATATCTAGTTCGATGTGCTGGACGGGAGAACATAGATTATTCGGGGACCTCGAAGTGAAGCAGACAACACTCTTTGTCTGTCAGTGTCTCAACAAGACTGGGGTTTTATAACTGAAGACCAAGGGATGCTATTTATAGCTGCGTCCTCTTCATCCCACTTCAGACAATCATCACATCCAGCCCTCCTCAAGGTACACCGTCAACACTCCACTCGCAGTCCTTTCATTTTTAATGTGACGACAAATTCAACGCGACAGGTGTGCTAAAAGTGTGTTCACAAAAAGACTGGTATGTTTTCTGTAGTTAAAGGTTGATGTGACATGTAGCTTTTATTGTGCTCGTTCCTCTTATTTTACTAATTTTAAAGGTAGCGAGATAGACTATTACTATTATATCTGTTATTATTATTTTTTTTTATCAGCGGATTATTAGTTAACTGGACAGTTGATTCTGCGGACAAACAGGTGGTCGTTTCACTCTGCAGTGTGAGTCCGCCAGAGAAAGTGGACCGGAACAGTCTCTATTTGACTCTCACTGTTCGTGACATCCCTCCCACACCCGAAACACAGGAAATGTCTTTTCTCTCCGATTACTTATTTGCCTCATCATCTCTGCTTGTACAGACTGCTAATGGATGGGGGCTATTGTAGTGCGGGCGCTCGGATCTATAAATAGACCTGCTTGCGAAGTATGATCTCATCACTGGGGATGTGAGGCGTGATAGCGCTTATTGGAAAGATTGTCAATTAGCTTGGATGCATCACACAGTTGTCATAAAACTGCAATGACTTTTACAAAACCATTTATAGTGGTGTGTGAATCAGTTTTTTTTTTATCTTTCTTTCTTACAATATGGTTATGGTTATTTACATTTTGTTGGATCCATACAGTTTTATTGATGAGATAGAACTACACAAAGTGGTGCGTAACTGTGCAGTGGACAGGAAATCATATATTGTTTTCAAATTTCTTACAGTTAAAATGCTGGCTTGGATTTGTTTTCTCCTCCCTATAGTTTGATAGTCTTAAATAAAATCAGGTGCAACCAACTGCTTTCAGAAGCCACCTAATTAGTGAATATAGATTTATTTTCCTTTTGGTTTTTCCCTTCAGAGGTCGTCACAGTGAGTCATCTGTCTCCATGTAACCCTACCTTCCACATCTTCTTCCCTCACACCAATTACCTTCATGTACTCTTTCACTACATCCACAGATCTCCTCTTTGTTCTTCCTCTAGCTTTCCTGCCTGGTAGGTGCATCATCAGCATCCTTTTTAAATTGAAATCCACTATAAATTCAGTTGTTTGTGAAGGATTCAGTGGTATCTGAAGAAACTAAACAAGAGCAGCTGTTGTTGGAAAAGTCCTATGGGGGACACAATAAACACACGGAAGAAGATGCATTGATTAGATGACGCTAAAACTGGAAGTCTGTGCAAAAGGACATATCTCCTCCATTTGATTCAGGTGCATTGGACCAGAGACACCACCCAGAGTTAGTGGAGGTGTTAGTGGCCAGTTGCTTTTCCATCAAATCTGAGTGAGCATTTGTTATTTTGCAGAGAATGTGTAAAAATGTTATTCTGTAGTTGTGCAGAACTGGTAATACACCAAAAACAATGAATGTTATGTAGGCATGAGACCATTTAAAAACAAACAAACAAAAAAAAGAACTATTGAGAGGAGAAACTGCTTTATAAGTAAAACCGTAATGGCACAGTATTAAGTCAAGAGGGCAGAATACAAATTTACCACACTTTTAGAATATTAAAAACCATGTATCTCTTTATTTCCTCCTCTTCACAGTTATGCAACAGTTTGTGTTGATCTATTACATAAAACAAGAGAAAAAAATCATATCCTATCCCCTCAAACCTGAGACATACCTTCTCCAGAAGCAAGCAAAAATATTTCCAATCCAGTAGGAATGAGAGGGAGGAGCAATCTTAAATTTTATAGAGATCAATATTATTTCTAAAAATCATAAATAATATTTTTTTAGATCACTTATATCACATTAGAGATCACCTTGTTGTACTAAAATGCCATTTAATGTGTTTTAAATTATGTTACTGTTAGGGTCTGGGTTTTGGTTTTATTTATTTCTGTTTCTTTGTTCCTCTTTTATTTAACTCAATCTTGTTTCTGTTTAGCTTTAGTTCAGTTCTTCTTAATGTCTCTAATTATGTTTATTTCTGTTTCTAGTTATTTTTAGCTTCTCTAGTTTTAATATGTTTCTTTAGTATAGTTATATTCTTTTGAGTTGGACTTATTTCCTAGTTCCCTGTGTAATCTCTCTCTCGCCCCTGTGCCATTCTCTTTCTCTCCCTCTCCTCAGTCTGCTTCCTGTTCCCTTCACTCTCACCTGCAACCCTTTAACTCATCACCCTAGGTCCTTTGTCTCAGCATTCAACCTCCCAGTATTTAAGCTTCTCATTTTCAGCCACTCCTTGTCAGATCCTCTCGTTTACCCGTGTCACTTTCCCTAGTTCTCCTTGTGTCTCCATGCTGGTTTCTTTACTTGGATTTTTTATCCATTCCTGACCTGGTTACATGTTATCTTTTTAAGTTTGTTTTCATTAAACTTTCTAATTCATTTGCCACCTCAGTATCTCTGCGTTTGGGTCCAACTTCAACTGACAAAACATTATGGCATTATTCTTAGAATTTTTAAAGGTAACCCTGAACAAATGAGAACAAGCGATATCTTTCTTAGAGTTAAATATTCCTCTGAAAATGGTTTGTTTCTCCATTGAATATCAGTAATGCATTAAAAATTAATCAACATCTCTTTAAAACATCACAAGATGATATTCAAAGAAAACCTTAAAGAAGTGAGCACTTCTTTATGGTCCATACATCCACAGAACTATAAATATTTTTCTAAACAAAAATAAAAAAAATCATTTCATTCTGGATCGAAATAAATTAAATTAAGGCTTGTAGCTGTTGTGATGAATTATGCAGTACAGTGTTTTGACATCTTCCAATTTTGATGGACACTTTGTGATGTCAACAAAAACGTTCCTCACAAATGCAACTCGTTTTCAAATGGCAGCTGGATATTGGCGTCTGCTAACAAGTGCTCTTTCCACAGGTTTCTTGCCTTGACAGCTTTTCAGAGCTGCTTCGCAGAGCAGTCATAGAAAAACCCATAAATTCGAGACCTGGCAGTGTACATTTTCCTTTAGACAGGGACAGAGGAAAAAAACACAGCTCATTCTTGACATGAAGGCTTTTCACTGCAGTTTGTCCAAATGACCCTCCAGCCGTCTTTCCATTTCAGAATATTTTTTGATATTTTTACATTAGGCTTGTTCTTGGCAGGTTGCAGCTCACAGATGTCTACACTGCTCAGATGGCTTGAGGGGGCAGGTACCATCTGAGCTGTGTCATGGAGAGAAAGTCATTTTATCAGCACCTTACACTCAGCCTGACACATAATTTCATAGTACCAAGGAATGTGTTAATGAGACAAAATGTTTTCGAAAGAACAAATTTTGGCAGGCATCTGTGAATTATTCAGGGGACCTGATAAGTCTACTGAACTGGTGAGAAGTGTTCACAGAGCCAGCATGCTGCATGATATCGCTGCTGTCTCATACATGCCAGCTATGGGCAGGCTGATATTGTTGTCTTAAACTTGGTGTTTGCCATATTTCTAATGATATTGCGAAGACCCTGCAGGAAAAAAAAAAATCTGTCCCCTACAGAGATGAGATAAAAAGTGGGACTGAGTAAAGACAGTTAATTTTCTCACAATGTCAGTAATGAAAATGGTAAGCAACACCTCTGTTCCTGTTTTTGACTATAAAGACAGCCTACAACCTAATTATGTCAGAAATTATACTTCCAAGAAAAGCTGCTAAATACAAGGAATAATGCAACTGTGCGTTATTGTTAATATGTGTTAATATCGGTTTTTCTTTACCTGCATTTCTTCATTTCTATTATCAATATGGCTCCACTGTTCTCCATGACATTTATTGTCTGAGGCTCTGAAATCAAAGAGGGTATATTAGCATTAGTAGTAGTGAAAGTCTATCCAATTTACCAAATGTATTATTTGCATGCCACATGACATACAAAATAAATAAATTAATGAAACATTCTGAACCTCCATATGATTATAGCAACTTCCGTAGTAAATATGTGTATTAAAGCCTTTAGAAGTCTTGTTTTAATGCACAGGCATAATCTACCGCATCATTTAGAAAATGTAGCATTTAATTAGAGTGCACTAATTCAGTTGGGAAAACAATTCAGCATTAGGAAATGATTGTACAAAAAGCAACAGTTCTGCCTTTCTTGGCACCCCTACTGATCATATTTTATGCAACTCGTTTCTTTCCAATTGGACATTTTGGGTTTTCAAATTTTGCAATGATTCACCGGATCCCAACAGAAATGATTCACATCTTCTTGGCCGGAGGCAATTTGTGTATTTCTGTAATATCTAAACAAGTCAGTGAGCTTTGATAAATTGTGCCTTGCACCCTTTTTTAAAAATAAACTCTCTTTTTGTGCCTCATCTCATATTGATAAATGAGTAGCAGTAATCCTTTCTGCAGTGGTTCCAGTTTTAGAACTACTGAGATTTTCTTTCTTAAATGTGCATTTCTCCCAGTCCGCTTCTCTGCTTTATATCGGCCATCATTGTTGACACCCTCGAATTGCTTCCATTTTATTCTTTATGTGCTCCATGATCTATTATTGGCTTGGCCTATAAGTGTTTTCTGTTTCAAAACAAGATGAATCCCTAACATGGCATTAGGTTTCCAGGCAACAGTGCATACTCTGCCGCTTGGGTATAATTTTCTTTGTATAGTTATGATGTTTAATAGTAAGTGACTGCATGGCACTTTTCCAAATTTAACCACAGCGCACAGAGCCTGTAGAGCTTGATGTATGTCAGGAGGCGTGGAGGCTACGAGCTATATTTGGCTGCTGTGTTCCCTTCAAAGCGATGACTTCTAGGTCTGGACTTGACATTTCTCTTAGACTGGAAAAAAATGGGTTTGGGTCAGTGAGTTTTTTTGTGGAAGGTGAAGCAGGCCTGGAGGGGGAGGGGCTGATGTTGATGTCCAGAGGACAGACCTGGTCTATGTTCGGCTGTGTCTCACTCTTTGATCCTTACTCTTTGCTGCACAAAAGGTGTCTGAGTTTTAGGTGATTTATGTAGATTCCCTTAGCATCAGAGATTACAAAGATGTTGCACTCTGGAGGGAATATTATCACGATTGGAAAAAGTTTTGGAACAGGTTTAAGGTGCAAGCAGTATGTTTTCTGGAATGGATAAATGAAAAAAATACAAATAAAATAAATAAATAAATAAATAAATAAATAAATAAATAAATAAATAAATAGTGGATTGCAAAGGCGTTGATGTCTCCTTAACTTTTTCGCATTTTGTCTCTTTACAACCTAAACGTCATTGTGTTTCATTGGCAATTTATATACACTAAAGCAAAGTAGTGCACAATTGTGAAATTAATAAGGAAAAGAACATTGTTTCCAGTTTATTTTACAAATAAATATCCGAAAGTGTGGAATACATTTGTATTCAGAATCCTTTACTGTAGAACCTGGACAGGAAGAGGCTAAACTTATACTTTTGTCTTAGTATAAGTTAAGCATTGACTAGAAAAGCAGCCAAGAGTCTCATAGAAACTCTAGAGGAGCTGCACAACTTGAGTGGGAGAATCTGTTAACAGAGCAACTGTTAGTTTTTTTCACTCCATGATTTTAGTCTTTGTGAAGAGACGCAAGAATAAGCTATTGTGGACAGAAAGCCATATGAAGTTCCATTATTGGTTCACCACAAACAGTGCGGGGGGCACAACAAACTGCTAACAAAACAATTGTTAACACAACAATATTTGCTCTGACCGAAAAAGACTAAACCTTTTTTGAGCTACATGTAAAAAGGATGTATGGATGCCCCAAAATGGAGTATGGACATTAATCTGAAGAGACCATCGCCCATGGTAAAAATACAGTGGCAGCATTATGCTGGTTTTCTTCAGCATGCCCTGAAAAGTAGAGTTGATATGAAGATGGATGGAGCCAAATTCACGACAATAATGGAAGAAAAAATGTCAGAGGATGTAAAAGACACTGTGGCCAACCTTGCAGAGGAAAACTTTTAACACACATAGCCAGACTTATCATGTAATGTTTCAGAAAAAAACGGAAACATTACATGTTATATATATA